GGTGAGATAACGGACAGACTGCTCACATTCTCATGCACTTGCATACAGTCTGACAGCCGGCACTATACCCCATCGATTCAAACCACCTTTACTCCTACATGTATGTAGTGGTTGTACGCAGTAGGTACACCGCATACTCCATACTGCATGCATATACTGCATAGTAGATGCTGCTAGGTACGCCGTACGTCCCGTCATGCCTTCAACGCAACGTTGATAGGAGGACGGATTGCCAAGCTTGGTATCGACTCGAACCTGCCTCTACACCTAGAAAGGCAGGAGAAATATCTGATGTGACTCACTCGGGGAGCAAGCCGCCCCGGATTTCAGCTTGAATCGATTTAGTGTACTGTCCGAGATATGGAAAGGGCCCAGGGGCAAACTGGAAGTGATATGCAGCCGTACTATGTGCACTACATGTACAGGTGTTGCTGTCGGGATAAAAGACACCTGGTAAGCCTCAAGCACCGGAAAATGCTACAACGCTTGATCTTAGTAATACATAGCCCGATCGGCTATGTACGTACCGCTGCGATACGCCATTCTGCAACGATGCGAACTTGACATCGTCATCCTGAATTTTGGCTTGGCGGATATCCGGCAACTCGCCTCTTTATTGCCCAGGTTGTCCATAAAGTCGGCGTTTTCAGCTTCTATGTGCAACAGCCTCTGAAACCGTCAAGATACGAAGTTGTCATTGCTGAACCTTCGTCAACACGTAATGACCGAGCTATTGACTAGAAGAGCTGTGCGACAGCGCCTGAGACGTTCTCGTGATCAAAGACTGTTGTGATATCCGTGTGTAAAGTTTCCTTTTCTTCTTCTCTTTTTTTTTTTTTTTTTTCGTCCTCTTTCACCCAAATTTCACATTTGCCTGAGCTTCGGACTTCTGGGTGTTCGCACACGACAACTGCCGCAACCATCGCCAATTTCTCGAATAGGCGCGAAAGACATTCAATGCGCCAAAAGTCTCCATGACCAACAACCTGAACTCATCAGACCCGTTCGGCATCGGTCGTGGCGTCCACACGAAAACCAATCAAATAATGCACGGCTCAGGGAGAAGTACAAAACCGATCCCGACGGCCCTTGTGAATCCCCACGCATTGGCTCTCAGCTGTACAGATTTCGGCACCAGCTTTGAGCTGGGCCAAGCTGCTTGGATCATGATCTTTGGGAAATCTATTCGCAGTGTTGAACCTAAACAAGCCGGGAAATTTGATTACCGCAGCACCTTGGGGAAGCCATCAAGTAAGACAGCATGCAAGATTGGTTTCGAAGTAAGACGGCCATCCTGGAAGATGGCCTCTGCAACCAAACATATGAATGTCAAGGCCAAGTCGATGAGACTCGGAAAGTTGGGGATGTGCTTGTACACCAGCTCAAACAATGTTGACTCGAGCTGTGAAAGCATAAAGACACCACAACGCTACGTCAGAGGTGTGTGTCAGGGGCCGTAACTGAACAACCGAGCAGCCTCCATAGAGTGAAGGCGGTAAAGTGGTAAGCCGATGGCTTGATGACCTCTTTGCTTTGCCGGTAACTCTTTTTCAGTCTTCCCCTCACCATCATCACCGTCTTGTCCATTGTCGTTGCTGGTGGGGGCTTTGTGGCTTTCTGTAAAGCACTAGCTTGGGTCGTTATGGTTGCACGGTCTTTTCCAAGTTGTTTCATTTAGTAATCCTTTGGTGGATTACCTAGGAGTGTTAGGAAAAAGTTGTTGGGATGTCGAGGAGAAAACAGGCTGTGCTGACTGATGGAAACGCAGAGTTACCAAAAGATTCGGGTGCAAATCTGGCTCAACCTTCGGACTCGGAACCACTGTCATCCTCAACCCGAGAGTATAGTCCATCGGGGTGCTCATATTTGAACTCTCCACAACCAGGAGAATGGGGAACAGATGCGATTGTGCCGGTGTCGCAAGTTGGTTGTCGCGCCGACTTTGTGGATCTCAGGGCAAGCTTCCGAGAAGCGCTGCTGTCCATTGTCTGCCGTCAAATGAAGCTCGATTCAATAACATATCCAGATTAGAGAGAGAGGGGGGAGAGAGAGAGAGAAGAAGGGAAGAGGGGGGGGGGGGGGGGGCAGACGCGGTAAGCCCAGCTCAACCAGTTGAAGAATCAACTGGAAACTGTAAGCGAAACTCTTGTTCTTTCCAGATTTGGGTCATTCAGCTCATGGTTGTGTTCACTTGGTTGGTTGGACTTTGGGAGGTCGCGATATGGTGTCACTTTAGGAGACAAGATCGACTGAACACCCAGAACTCTGGTCCCGATCCTTGGTGTGTTTATTCTGGAAATTTGGTCGATGTATCATCCGCTCAGGTCTTGCCTCCCGTTCATGGCAGTGTCACGGTTCGGGATCAATGTCCCGGCTCCGGGAAGAGGCAATCTCCATTTGATTGGCTGGGCGTGAAGAGTGGCTGTCGACAGGAGTCTTGTGTATAAGTAGAGTGGCTGCTGAGACTTGGTAGTTGAGGCATGCAGGAGCGAGGTAGGTGGAGGAGCGGGCAGAACACGGTTCCAGGTTTTTGTGGTTGGGAGCTGGTCGATTTGTTCGATGACCGCCAGTGCGGGCACCTGGGCTCTTTCAGTTCCCGCAAAGTGAAAGGGATCGTTGCAAGGTGGGCCTTGCACATCAAGGCGGGTTGCCAGCGCCAACTGTCGGGCAAGTGCAATGCAGCTGCTGCACTCAGATCACATGGAGGGAAGGTTCCCGTCCTTCTTCACCTCTTCTCTTTCACACGTAGATGTAGGTGGTAGGAGGTGGCAGGTCTCACGTTATTCACCTAATTAAAGCACTCTTCGACAAGTTCAACCCTGCCTGGGACGCGAACAAGTAAGTTCTTTGCTGCTAACGAAGTATTGTTGCTTCATCGTCACATGTACTGTGAATGGCATCAACTTCGCACAACTCAGTCACTGCCTGTCATTAGGAGAAGTGGAAGTACCTGAGTGCCAAGATCGACCGCCTCGACTCGCCCGACACCTGGTATGTCCATACTACACTAGCAATTTACCTAGCTTCCTCCTTGCCCAGTCCCGTCCCGCCAGGGCGTATTTCTTGCAACTGAGCGGCGCCGCCCTTCAAGGTTCCGGTCAACTGCGCGGACATCCAATCCAACCAATATCATCGCCCTGAGCTAGGTACCTAGCTCCGCACAGGCCTCGTGGAACAAGCCGACCTCAACGGGAGCTATTCCACCCACCCAAACCTCGAATTCTTTCTTGATGGTATTTAAGAACTTGCTTCACATATCCCGCCCGCATCCCCATGTCCTCTTGCGATTCCCTTCATCAGAATTACGACAATTGATTTCTCCGGCCAGTTCAATTGACCAAAGACCAATCGATTGTGCTCCCAGGCTCCTCACCATCGGAAAATCGAAGCCTTCTCATTGTTGTTCCCAGCCGCCTCATCTGCAGCTGCTAGACCTGCTGGATCTGCTATCCTCGAGCCCATAGCACAGCGCAGGGCACTTGCACGGCTGCCGCACTTCTCACGACAGGCATTTCATCGCCGAGCCAACGGCGGGACGGAACCCCAGACCGATCAGAAACCCCAGACCTTCCCCAGAAAGTGGTGCCGTTGCCGATTGAAATAATTCCACTTGACCCGGCAACACTTGCGCCTTTCTCACCACCACTTTTCCGTCCTTCACCTTTCGTCAACCCACCCGTCTCGTGCTCCAACCGACTATATGCCACAATGAAAGCCACTCCGTTAATCATCAACTGGCACCACGAAAACAATCCGTACCCCATCTACTCTGCCCATTTCGAACCCGGAGGCAAGGGCCGCTTAGCTACCGCCGCCGGAGACAACAATGTTCGAGTAATGCAATCTACCCTGTCCCGCCCTTGCGTTCAGGTTTTTGGACCCATACTGATTGTTATGATTGCGACAGCTATGGAGAATAGAGGAGGATGGCGAGAATCGTAGGGTCGAGTACCTGGCAACCCTGTCCAAACATACACAAGCAGTCAACGTCGTTCGCTGGGCCCCCAAAGGTACGTTTCCCTTGCCCTCGTGGCATGCCACCAGCTCTCCGGATCCCTTAGCTCGCTTCTTCGTGTACTAACAAGGCCCCTTTTAGGTGAACTCCTTGCCTCTGCTGGAGATGACGGCAATGTCATCTTGTGGGTTCCATCAGACACTCACCACGCGACGTTCGGAAACGAAGGCCTCGAAGACAAGGAAACATGGAGGACAAAGCACATGTGCCGGTCCCTGGGCACAGAGATATATGATCTTGCCTGGTCCCCGGATGCTGCCTTTTTCATCATCGGCAGCATGGACAATGTTGCGCGCATCTATAACGCTTCGACGGGCACACTCGTGCGCCAGATTGCCGAACATAGCCACTACGTCCAGGGCGTTACATGGGATCCTCTGAACGAGTACATCGCGACACAATCTTCCGATCGATCGGTACATATCTACTCGCTCAGGACCAAGGATGGCCAGTATACCCTCGCCAACAACCACGACGACAAGCCACCAAAGATTGCCAGCCACGCCAAAACAGATCTTCCTCCTCGCAGGATATCCTCACACAGCCCAGCTCCGCCCGAGTTCGGTAACCGGCAAGCTTTTACATCCCTGGATCCCAGTGCTGTTGCTGGATCCCCAAACCCTTCCATCCCGGGTACTCCCACTTCGATGGCCCTGCCTATGAACCCTCCCAGTGTCATCAGCCATAGCCGGAGATCGTCGTTCTCGTCCAGGCGATCAGTGTCACCCGCACCGTCCATGCCTTTGCCAGCTGTTATGCCTATCGAAGCTTCTCCCAAACCGCACTCTTCAAGCTACGGCCTGGGCATGAAGAATGCGAGCCTTTATGCTAATGAGACTCTAACTTCATTTTTCCGGAGACTGACCTTCACACCTGACGGAAGTCTGCTCCTGACACCTGCTGGTCAGTATCAGACTCAGCATCAGGTGGATGGCGGGAAACCTTCGTACGAGGTCATTAATACGGTATACATATACACGCGAGGTGGCATCAACAAGCCACCCATTGCCCATTTACCCGGACACAAGAAGCCGTCTGTCGCCGTCAGATGCTCCCCAATCATCTACACCTTGAGACAGTCACCGCCCGTCACCAAACACATCACCATTGATACTTCATCAGCCGAGGAGCCGATACCTTCACTGCCTGAACCATTAGCAAAGCCCTCAACAGCTCCGTCCGTGATGGAGCCACCACCTCCTCCAGTGCCCACCGAAAGTTCGGTTTCAGGATCGACGGAGGCTTCAGTGCAGAGCCCTGGACCGAAGTCGGCGTTCGCGCTCCCATATCGTATGGTCTACGCTGTAGCCACCCAAGACTCAGTGCTTCTGTACGACACCCAGCAACACACACCTATCTGCGTTGTGAGCAACTTGCACTGCGCCACTTTTACGGACCTTACCTGGTAAGTTATTCCTTTTGCTTCCTTGAGCCTTCGCAAACTAATATAAGTTGTAGGTCGACTGATGGTTTGACGCTGTTGATATCCTCGTCGGATGGGTTCTGTTCCACCCTGTCCTTTTTGCCTGGAGAGTTGGGTACACCGTATACTGGAGAAATTGGTCCACGACATTCACTGTCCTCTGGAGGAGCCACGTCGAACCAGAACACGTCTCTTCCCAATCCCTCGGGGGTGTTTGCTCCCCCATCCCCGTTTCACAACGGTACCAACCATCGCCATAGGGACTCTGCGAGCTCTTTTACGGCGCCTTCGCCACCTACAGCTGCTTCCTTCGTGAACCCGCCGCCCCCTTCACCGGCACGATCCAACTCGACTAGTTCTGCCATTACTCAAGCTTCTACATCACAGGGCGGGGTTATGAGCAACCCACCGCTTATTTCTGGCCAAGTGCCAAGCATCACCGCCACCAATTCGGGCAAGGTTACGGGCTTGCCCGTTGTGACCCCTCCTGAGACGCCGCAGAGTTCGAGCGGTGGTGCTGGCTCCACTAGCTTGAAGAGGGAGTCAAGCGATTCTCGCGAGGCGAATAACGCGGAGAATAGCCAACAACCCAAACGGAGACGCATCGCGCCTACCTTGGTCAGCGGAGGGGCATCGTCTACGACTAACGGGTCCAGTAACAGCGACGTGGCTAAAGCGTAGGTCGCTAGGCGGTTGTTGTCGCAAGGATCTAGCACAACCCACGGATCCTTTCACAAATAGATATCTTTGACGTGTGCTGAGACAAGACATATTTGTGGTTTCTCGTCGAATGGAAGATAGGAAAGCATGCAAGAGGAGGAGAACGGACAGGGGTGATGTCTTGAGGGTTTGAGGTTTTGGTCCTATAACTTTGATGTTTCGCTGCCCAGTGTGAGAGAACTTGCCCCTTGGGCTCTTGGTTCTCTCCACATTCTTCTATATCGTCAAGGCAAGAGCGGCCAGGTCAATTTGTTATTGCATCTACAGTGGTGTTGGCAGGCATCATACTGGGTGAAGAATACAGAACGTTTAAGTACGGAAGCTACAGTTTAATTGGTGGTTTGGATCCGTCGGGTGGTGGGTGCTATTTTGGGCAGACTGAGATGTCAGCTACGTTATAATTTCTGGAGACTCCGCCATGCACAGATGAGCGGTATGGAGTCTTCTTATTCTTGTCATGCTAATCAACCCCGGAAGTCAGTTGACTGAGCTACGGCAGTGATACTATGCCCGGTATCGGTACACTTAAGTACAGGCTCGCCAACGCGGAGGTCTCGGCTTAGGACGGCTTAAGCACTCACCCACCGTCAGCTTTTGAGCGGACAAAACAATTGCATGATAATCCACGACAATGAAACACTTTCCGAGGTACACAGATTATCTGAATTCTTGTATAGTATACTTTCTAAAGGTAAGTATCTAGGATTATGATCGGTCTGATTTCTCTCTACGGTAATTACTTCTGTAGTGCAACAATTCGGCAGGAGCTAGGAATCTGGGAGGGAAAAGATACGCCGGGTCCATGAGGGACAGCTTAACAATTGGATGATACCTAGGCACCTGTGACCAGTAACCAAACATACCACACGTGTGACCTCAAACGCGGGGAAGATTAACAGGAACAATGTCCGAAGGGCACTCTTTGTCCACGCTTAACCAAAAACGCCGATAGGGAGATAAAGCTCAGTCCAATTGAAGAAGTGCAACTGCTTATCCTGGACGCTATCTGTTCTCGGATGGCTACCTCTAGGTAGGACCTCGGGTCCCCTTGCAGCTTCCCATTTCTCACCAAACCGCTTCAAGGTACCCGCCATTGGCTTGGCCGTTATCACTTATACAAGAGCAGTCACCCCCCGCGTGAGGGGGTTGTTGTTGGGGCTTACTTTTGTCAACTTACCCTTCACTTCTGTTACATGTAACCCGAACTATTTACACCGGCCTCACCTCGCCTTACCTATTCGTTATAGACGGTGTTAATACTCTTCAGGTCTGAGTAGCTTCATCCAATCTCCACCTCCCACAAATCAACCGGCGCGTCTTCAGCTCAGCATCGCCCCTAGGAGCTATCAACCACGGCAACGTCGACAGCACCGATACATACAGATCACAACCCCTTGTTTTTGGATCTTTCAGCGAGTATCGTTTCGATCGTGGTGAAAGCTTAGTGAGCAGTGAGCAAGTACACTGACACGATGAGTTTCCTTTCGGATTACCTCCGCCACAAGCGGGACTGGTCAGTAGTATCCATCCCAATCATATATATAGAAAGCCTGGCTTTTAGGGCTCTTTAGATCACTGGAATCAAAGTGTGTGATCCTCTTGCTAACCCCAGACTACTTCAAACAGTAATCTTAAACGAGCCGAGCGTAAAGAACGCATCTCCTCGCTCGGTCCGGAATACCATGCCGCCTTGTCTGGCAAAGACCTCGACACCATTAACAAGCCCATCGCCGAACTCGTGTCCGGCGTCCAGTCCAATGCCATATCACCAATCTCAGTACTCCAAACCTACGGCAAGGTTGCCGTCAGAGCCCACCTCAAGACCAACTGCCTGACCGAGGTCCTCATCTCCGCCGCCGAGGACTCCCTCAAAAACTCCAAGGGAGTCAACCTCCAGGGTCCCCTGGCCGGAATCCCCGTCAGCCTGAAGGACACCATCATCGTAGGCGGCTTCGACACGACGGTCGGGTACTCCTCCTTCGTCGGGAACAAGGCCGAGAACCCGCAGGACGGGCCGATGGTGCGTCTTCTCAAAGACGCCGGCGCCGTCCCTTATGTCAAGACCAACCTGCCCATCTCCCTGCTGAGCTACGAGAGCACCAACGACGTGTGGGGCCGCTGCACGAACCCGTACAACAAGGCGTACTCGCCCGGCGGCTCGACGGGCGGCGAGTCGGCGCTCCTGGCTTGTGGCGGACGCATCGGCATCGGTAGTGATGTGGCGGGCAGCGTCAGGGTGCCGGCCCATTTCAGCGGGTGTTATTCCCTGAGGTGCGCGACGGGGCGCTGGCCCAAGGCGGGCATCCTGACCAGCATGCCCGGTCAGGAAGGCGTGCCTAGTGTTTACTCACCGATGGCGAGGACGCTGGATGATTTAAGCTATTTTACCAAGGCGGTGATTGGGATGAAGCCGTGGAAGTACGATCACTCTGTTCACCCGCTTGCGTGGAGGGATGAAGTAGTAGAGGAGTTTGCGGATCAGGAGAGGAGGCTGAGGGTTGGCGTGTTGAGGACGGACAAAGTGGTTGATCCGAGTCCGGCATGCAAGCGGGCGCTGGAGACGGTGGAGGAGGCATTGAGGAGAGAAGGGCATGAGATTGTGGAGATGGAGGATGCGCCGGATATGTTCGAGGCGTTGCGGATGGGGGCGTTGTTGCTGAATGCGGATGGTGGATGGTGGTTCAACTCGTACAGGAGGTTCGGGGAGTGGCTGGACTCGGGAGCGAGCTTGCTGTCGTTTGGCAAGTGGCCAAGCATCGTCCGGTATTTGTCATACCTGTGGATAAAGTACATTCGAAGGGACAACCTTTGGGCAGAGCTGGTGAAGCAGACGAGGCCCATCTCGGCTGCCGAGAACTGGGGGGAGGTCAAGAAGAGAGAGGCGTACAGGGCCGAGTGGTTCGAGTACTGGAACAGGAAGCAGTTCGATGTGCTTATTTCACCGCCAAATGCGCTGCCTGCCATTCCGCACGATGCCTCGAAGGATACCTTCAGCAATTGCGGATATTGCTTTCTTTTTAACTTGGTGAGTTCTTCCACGAGTGTCTTACCTTCCCAAACGGAGAGCCTCACTGACACAAACACTCTTTTCTCATCAGCTCGACTACACAGCCGGCATCATCCCCGTCACGCATGTCGATAGTGCGCTCGATAAGCTCCCGAGCACCTTTGACCATAAGAGGCTGAACGGTATCGCGACCAGAGCTTACAGACACTATGACGCCGAGCGCATGCATGGACTTCCAGTCGGTGTGCAGATTATTGGCCGCCGTTTAGAAGAAGAGAAGGTCCTGGCGGTAATGAAGAGAGTCGAGAATGCGCTTGGAAAGGACAAGTACAAGCTGTTTGACCCAGAGCTGTTGAATAACGTGGTGGATTAGGAAGCCCAAAAACACATACATCGCCTTTCAAAGCCAAAAGATGAGATCTAGGGCGTAGGAGTACCTGGCGGCGGTTGGGTGGACCCGGGTCTAGAGAGAGCCTATCCATAATCATTGATTGTCTTTATACCTAAATTGAATTGGTTATGGTATGATCAGCGTATAGTTTGACCACAATAGTGTTGGAAGTCAGAGGAGCCTTACAGGACGGGAGTTGACTTGATGATTTGCAACCCGATTTGACGAGCGTAAACCGTTAGCAGTTTCCACTTCAGCAGATAAAGACCTTTATCCACCTAGACTTGTACCAGTGTTTCCGAGATTCATCTTCGGCTTGACCTTCTGATTCGAGACAAGGGAACGTTCCTTCCATGCAGTTTCCCACCCGCAGCCTAGTTCCATTCGTAGAGGTAGAGATGTAAGGGTAGTCGCCGACATCGGACCCCTTTCACCCCGTCTCGTTGCCTCCTCTCATCCAATCTTGGCCTATGGTAGTATCTCCCCAGACAACAGTACGTGGGGTTGAGATGTTATGAGACCAAGTAGTCGGGTATAAAGCTCTGGTTGTTTCCACTTGATCTTTTCGGTTTTCCCTCTCCCCTTTTCTTCTCTAAACCAACATCGACAACCCCCATCACTTACCAATGGCGACCCAGCAGAACAAGGACAACTGGTCCTCAGAGGTAAGCAATGGACCAGTCACTGGATAACCACAGTTCTTTCCTCTTTACTATATCTGCTTGAGTGTGAATGGACGGCTGACCAGTCAAGGAACACGCAGGCATATCAATCCGCCGCCTCCTTCGTCCCCAAGCTGGCCACGAAGATTGTCCAATGGCTTGATCCCCAGAAAGACGATGTGATTCTGGACATCGGTTGTGGTGGTGAGTTTTGGCCCCATCCCGGGAAAAATGACGCTCGCGAACAAGGCGTCACTGACAAGTGAAAAACTTTCCTTTCCAGATGGCGTTCTTGATTTTGAGATCGCCCAGGTCTTTGAGGGAGGCCGAGGACGCTTGCACGGCGCGGACAGCTCCAGGGCCATGATTCAGGCTGCTCAAAAGAAGACATCGGATAATGCGCATTTGAAAAGCACCTGCACGTTTGAGGGTAAGTGATGTGACTGTCCTGTCCCTACCGTAAAGTGTGTCACTCACTCTCCCTCCAACACATTGTCGCAGTTCTCGACGCAACCGAACTCATCACCAAAACCCACCTGCACTACGTCCGCTTCAGCAAAGCCTTCTCCAACGCCGCCCTCCACTGGATCCTGCGTCCCGAAGAAAAGCGAGAAGTCTTCTTCCAGGGCGTCCGCGACGTGCTTGCCCCGGGGGGCGTCTTTGCCTTTGAGATGGGCGGACTAGGCAACGTGTCGGAGATCCGGGCCACGCTACTGGCCGCTGTCGGCAGGAGAGTCGGTTTGAAGCGGGCACAGGAGGTGGACCCCTGGTTTTTCCCCGACGAGGAGTGGGTGAGGCAGATGATGGAGGAGAAAGTAGGAGGATGGAAGGTGGAAAAGGTAGAGAGAGAGTGGAGGCCTACAAATTCTGATGTGGGTGGCGTGGAGGGATGGGTGAGATTGATGGCTGCTCAGTTTTTGCAGGCACTGGGGAGCGAGGAGGAGAGGGAGGAGGTGGTCAAGGAGGTGGTGGATGTGCTGGAGGTTGTATGCGCTAAGCCGGGGGGAGGGTATATGTATAGTTATGTAAGGTTGAGGGTGCTTGCTAGGAAGTTGTGAGGCTGATCAGATCTTAGGGCTATGTATTCGGATGTTAGTGTGAGATCTAGAGGCGTGTTTAAGCTTCTTTTGTGAGATGTTGATATGGTGATAGGTCTAGGCTAGACAGATAGGTCATCAAATTTCTCATTCTTAAAGGCGCATGCTTTTCAGCGTGTCACAGGAATGACGTTGGTGGTGGAGAGTCCCCTCGCCGGGGTAAAGGCTGGGGTACCTTGTTAGCTCAGGGCGCATCACCTATGCAGTAGCTCGGCTTGATAAGGTGCGCAAGGGTTGGATAGAAGCGATAAAAGAAAGCTTCTCCCCATCATCATTCCTATCGAAGCACTGTCAAGTCCGGCGCGATTCACATACTGCGAGACACTCGACGCTGCCAACTTATCAATCCGCGTCTCCTTGTTCACCGAGCTTGTCGACCATCACACTGTCGCCACCTCACAGGACTCGAGCAAACGCATAATTGAAACACTATGTCTGCGGACGACCAGGCTTTTCTGGACGTGGTAAGAAAACATACAACGTGCCCGCATAGAACCCCACTAACAATGGCCTGGTTCGGTTATAGTTATCGTCCCTGCCCGGCGATATCAAGCGCTACTCTGAAGATGTCGCCAACATCGTAAACGAGAACGTCGACAAGATTGCCGAGACCGTCAGACACACTCTCGCGACCTCGCAATGGGTACCAGAACAGATCCGCCCTCGGCTGCCGCCACCAGCGCCTTCAGCCGAGCTGCCGATTTCGCTCTACAATAGAGTTGAGAGCTGGGTATTAAGAAACAAAGTCCTCACCACCGCCATAGTCCTAGCCACTGGATCCATTCTATATCGGTCATACACAGTCTCCGCTCACGCCAGGAAGACCAGGCGCGCAAGGCGGGCGCGCAGCGGAGGACGCATGGATGTCGTTGTCATTGCAGGATCTGCCAACTTACCGTTGACACGGTCAGTTGCGCTGGATCTGGAAAGGAAAGGCTTCATCGTCTTCATTGTATCCAGCGGACCGGAGGACGATATTGCCATTCAGAATCTAGCACGCCCCGATATCCGACCTCTGGGCGTCGACACCACCGATCCTCTCAGCGCCAGCGCCTCCATTGAGCGTTTCGCGACCTACCTTCAGTCACCCCATGCGGCAGTCCCCAACAGCAAGCGACATCGGTTGCACCTCAAGGCCGTCATCCTCATTCCGTCTTTGAACTACCAGACCTCGCCCATCGCTACCATTCCTCCCTCTGGCTTCGCGAACCTCTTCAACACACACCTACTTCACCCTATCATAACCCTCCAGGCCTTCCTCCCTCTGCTTACCGCTCGCCTGGGTCCTACTCCCTCGGCCGAGTCATCATCCTCCGGAACCGACAAGAAGAAAGACAGCCCCAAGATCATCGTCTGCACGCCATCCATCATTTCCTCCATCAACCCCCCCTTCCACGCCCCCGAAGCAACCGTGTGCTCTGCCCTCTCCGCATTCACCGAAGTCCTGACCGCCGAGCTCCGCCCGCTCGCCATCCCTGTCACCCACATCCAGCTCGGTACCTTTGACTTCGCCGGCTTCACGCCCGCCTCGGCCGCGCGTGAACACTGGCAGGAGCGGAACTCTCAGGGCGTCCCGCTGCGCGCGCTGGAAGCGAACCCCCAGGACGCCGAGTCCCTGCTGCCCTGGCCCGACTCGGCCCGCCACGCCTACGGCAAGAATTTTGTCACCCAGTCGAGCTCGGCCATTAGCACGGGCCGCATCCGCGGGATGCGCGGCAGCTCGTTGCGGGAGCTGCACAATGCTGTTTTTGACGTGATTGACGGGTCCATTACCAAGGGCACTGTGCGCGTCGGCCTCGGTGCAAGCGTGTATGGCTTTGTCGGACGCTGGGTGCCGCGCGGGCTGGTGGCGTGGATGATGGGTATTCGGACGGTGGACGAGCTGGCGGCGTGGCAGTCGAGTCATAGCTCGTTTAATAGCCCAAGGTCGGGTGGCTCGGTGAGGTCTATGGGAAGCGAGAATGGGGATGAGGAGGAGGTGGGAACTGGGGCCCGCACATCGAATGAGTCGTTTGTTGCGGTGCCGATGGAGTAAATTCTTCATGGGAATAGTTTGGAAGAGTACAAAAGAAGGCAGTGTCTACAAGAATGGCATATGCCATAGCATTTCAGACGGTGGGTTAATTATCATTTCGTTACGGGTGCCCTAGGTAGGGAACGGCGTTCATGTTTTGGATCTCGTCCCTCTCAGTCTATTTTGAAAGAACATACAGATCACAGCTCCGCGAAAATGTCAAGCTAGCAATCCTCTCTAATCATCCCACAAGCTTTGTGATACTAAACTTAACCTACAGCCAATACACTAGATATAACCTTGCCTTTGCGCCGTGTGACCCATTCCTTATTCCGTGATGCATACCTGGTCCTTGATACCGGCTTCATTGTCCTCCTCATCGTCCCGAGCACTAGCATGAATATGTCGCCATGTTCATGTACCATTTGATCTCTCCTGGCCGCTTTGGGACCAAGGTTCTCTTAATGACCTTTACCCCTGAATCCTCCCCTTCCTCTTCCCCTCCATCCTCCTCGGCCTCTGCCTCCTCCTCCTCCTCCTCCTCCGCCTCCAAAGCGATCCTTATGGCGATCATGCCCGCCACCGTCCCTATCGCGTCCCTGCATCATCATCTCCCTCTCCCTGTTATCCCGATCACGCTCCCTCTCTCGGTCCATATACTCATTCGCGCCCGTCGCCTGCGCCATTCCACCACCCATACCATTAGCATCGCCCATATGTTGTTGCTGTTGTTGCTGCTGCTGTTGCTGCAGCAGCATCTGATCTCCCTCCCCTTTCGCCCTCGGCTTCTCCATGTCCTTATCCGCCGTCCACCTCGGATGCGCGCCCTCCTTGCAGCCCTTCCCATCCGGACAAAAGCCCGCCAGGTAATACAAGCACAGCTTCCTCCGAAAATGCTTCTTGTCACATCGCGGTCCCAGCGGACAGAACCCCCTCTCGTAATGCGGACACGGCGGCAATCTCGACAGCGGATCAATGTGCAGATACAGACACTCGTCCCCGTTGCTGCAGTACCCGTTCCTGACAAAGAAATTGCACTCGGGCATCTTGCGCAGGTTGTACTCGTGCAGGAACTCGCACGACTCGCCCTTTTTGCAGAGGCCGCGCAGCCAGTGCTTGCAGACGAGCGAGCCGAAGCCGCCGCTGAAGGTGTTACCGCCGCCATGGGTGTTTTGGGACGACGTGGTGACGTGGCGCTCGGGGCAGTGGGATTTAAGCGGGCAGTTGCCTGAGGCGTAGGCTTTGCAGATGGGTCGGTCGGCGGGGAGAGAGTGCTGGTAGGTGCGCTGGAGGAAGGGCGTGAAGGAGAAGGTATAGTGTGGTGCGGTGTGGTTGAGCATCTGAGTGACGAGTTGTTGCGGTCCTCCTGCCCCAGAGGGGAGGGAGTTTGTTGTTGTCTGTGTTGTTGTCGCCATCTCGGCGGATGTGTGAGGGGGGAAAAAGGTGGTTCGCCGGTGCAATTCGGGCTTTTAGGTGGGTAGGCTTGTTTTGTCGCGAGCAGTTCGCGATCGGTTCGGAGAGGTTACGTAGCTGGGCGACCAGTCGTGCCGAATCTTGCCTAGAGAATGCGCGCGGCTTGTGGTTTATGCACGCTTGACCAAGAGTTGTATTCTTTGCTGCGTATGCCCAGTTTTAAGTTCGACTTTAGTCGGGAGAAGTTCGCACAGCGGGTTGCGCCATCAAAAAATTGAAGCAGGGTGTGGTTGAGAGTTTGGTGAAAGAGTGCAACAAGTCGCAAATCGATTGTTGGAAATCGATAAGACGTGGACTCACCGAGAGATGCAAGGTGAGTGACCAATCAGAGATCAGCTATCCCGGTCTGGGCTACCTCGGCTTCCCTTACACTGGGCTAGCGGTCACCCCCGCGATGGCCATTCGGCATTTGTTCAACCATACCGTTGTTTATCATATAGGTTGTCATTCTTTCACTGCTTGTGTATCTCACTCTGTGTTTCTGCGTCTGCTTCTTTCCAGTCTAACAAAGCATTCTATTACTCCAGGTATCCTTCCCAGATGAGAGGCATTCAGGTGGCACAGTATGTTAAGGTATGTCCTATCTCGATCATCCCGGACATCTTCCCATTTCGTGGTTCTAACATTACCACTTAACTCAGAGCCCTCAAGAGCTCAGGGTCACGGAGCTTCCAGACCCTACACCTGCTTCAGATGAGTACTTGATTGAAGTTCATGCTGCGGCAACCAACTTTTTCGACATTCTTCAGATTCAGGGCAAATACCAGAATCAACCACGTGCGGCTTCTTTATTGAGTCCCGCTTACATTGCATTCAGTACGCTGACGTTGCATCTCAGCATTCCCCTGGGTATCAGGTGCCGAGTTCGCCGGCGTGGTTCTCGCCACCCCTTCCGGCCTCAAGGACCCCAAGTTCCCCGTCGGTTCACGTGTGTTTGGAGCTAGCCAGGGTGCGTACGCTACCAAAGTCAAGGCCAAGGAGACGGCCCTCCTCCCAGCTCCCGAAGGCTGGTCGCTTGTGGATGCTGCGGGCCTCTTTGTGACGGCACCAACGAGTTATGGAGCCCTTGTTGTTCGGGCCGGCGTCAAGAAGGGCGACTTCGTGCTTGTTCACGCTGCGGCCGGTGGTGTAGGTCTTGCCGCGGTCCAAGGTTAGTGGCATACGTACCCATCTCCAAGATGAACTACTTCGTTGCTAATCCCATATATAGTTGCAAAGGCGTTTGGAGCAACTGTCATTGCTACGGCCGGAACCAAGCACAAGCTCGAAGTCGCCAAGTCCTTTGGCGCTGATCATGTCGTCGACTACACGGACCCCAAGTGGCCCGAGATGGTGAAGAAGTTGACTCCTAAAGGCAAGGGCGTTGACATTGTCTACGATCCTGTCGGCCTGGTAGATCTGAGCACCAAATGTACTGCGTGGAATGGCCGCATCTTGATTGTCGGTTTCGCTGCCGGCAAGATCGAGAAGGTGGCAATGAACAAGGTTCTTCTCAAGAACATCAGCCTCGTCGGTGTTCACTGGGGCCAATACGCTGTTCATGAGAAGGAGACGGTGGTGACCGTGTGGCAGGGCATTATGAAGTTGATTGCCGAGGGCAAGTTCAAACCGACTGTGTTCAGCGACAAGGAGTTCGTCGGTCTCGAGAAGATTCCGGATGCATTGATCGCTTTGGGAGGTCGTGAGACCTGGGGGAAGGTAGTGGTTCAAGTCCCGCAGCAGGAAGGGAAAAGCAGGTTGTGAATTTTATGGATAGCTTCACTAGGTTCCGGTGTCGTGTCGAGCGTCGTTGGCCACAAAATCTCCGTCATCTGATGGAAATTGAAATACCTTCACCAATAACCCTAACCCACGCTGTGACCTTTGTTTTGTGCTTTGGGCCTCGGCTGCAACCCGCGGACTGGGTGCCTCGGTGACTGCACAGAGCTGCAAGAACCGAGGGGCCTCTAAAAGGCGGAACGACCCCGCTGAATGGGTATCTAAGTGGGAATTTTGGTGAGCACGTCAGAGGGGCATGGCCCTCGACCCTGGGCGGTCCAGGAGGGACGTTTCCTCGAATGGACGGCGTCCATCCCTCCGAGTTCGCCCCCAAGCAAATCCAGGCCGTTTTCGAGGCAGCCGGGGTCTAGATACGGGATTAGAAATCGCGACTCGATTTGAAAAATGGCGCCGGAACAGCGCGCCTGATCTGGCATCGCCTGGACTGTCTGACTAGATCGCGGATTGGGAGAGAAAGAAATCTAGAGATTATCAAATCGTTACCTTCCCTTTCCTGTAGATTCTTATTTCCCATCCAGTGACCATCCCCGGCTCTGTTTCCGCCACTTGTATCTTGTCTCTTGTTAGATCCGTTTCCCATTCGAAAACCCCACCAACCGCCAAACTGTTCTCCTCAACCTTTAGAAGAACTCTCCGATCCAGCGCATCTGGTCTCACAGTCGCTGCTGCCGCAACCGCCTTCAAGAAAAACACTCCGGTTCAACCTGCCGAACTTCAGGCCGTCACAAAAAGAAACATGCACAGCAAAGTAGTCATCATCGGCTCTGGGCCGGCCGCCCACACTGCCGCCATCTACCTGGCCCGCGCCGAGCTGAAGCGTGAGTTTCAATGCCATTGCAATTGTCGACATTAGGTTACAAGGACCAATGCGCTAACAATCCCTCGCTCTTTGTACAGCTGTACTTTACGAGGGCTTCATGGCCAATGGCATCGCCGCCGGTGGCCAGCTCACCACCACGACCGAAATCGAGAACTTCCCCGGTTTTCCCGATGGCATCATGGGCCAGGAGCTGATGGACAAGATGAAGGCTCAGTCTGAGCGTTTCGGCACTCAGATTATCAGCGAGACTGTTGCCAAGGTCGACCTCTCTGCCCGCCCCTTCAAGTACGCTACCGAGTGGTCCCCCGAGGAGTACCACACTGCCGACTCCATCATCCTGGCCACCGGCGCCTCTGCCCGCAGACTTCATCTCCCTGGAGAGGAGAAGTACTGGCAGAACGGTATCTCTGCCTGCGCCGTTTGCGATGGTGCCGTTCCTATTTTCCGCAACAAGCACCTCGTTGTCATTGGTGGTGGCGACTCCGCTGCTGAGGAGGCCATGTATCTCACCAAGTATGGCAGCCACGTTACCGTGTTGGTTCGCAAGGACAAGTTGAGGGCCAGCAGCATCATGGCCCATAGGTTGTTGAACCACGAGAAGGTCACTGTCAGGTTCAACACCGTCGGTGTCGAGGTCAAGGGTGACGACAAGGGTCTCATGAGCCATCTGGTCGTCAAGGATGTTACCACTGGCAAGGAGGAGACTCTTGAGGCCAACGGTCTTTTCTATGCCATCGGTCACGATCCTGCTACCGCCCTCGTCAAGGGCCAGCTTGAGACTGACGCCGATGGCTATGTTGTCACCAAGCCTGGCACTACCCTTACCAGCGTTGAGGGTGTATTTGCTGCTGGTGATGTTCAGGATAAGAGGTACAGACAGGCTATCACCAGTGCCGGTACGTAACCCATTGCCTCCCGTGTAACTGGTTTGGAAGAGTTGCTAATCTGTTATGCATAGGTACCGGCTGCATGGCTGCCCTCGATGCCGAGAAGTTTTTGTCGGAGCACGAGGAAACCCCCGCCGAACACCGCGACACCAGCGCCGTACAGGGCAACCTCTAGAGTTGATTTCTTGGATAGACAGCGTTTCGCTTAAAAAGTTGGTTCTGAAAATACAGGAATGATACCCAGAGTATGGCCGGCAATTTTGAATGCTTGAAATTTTAGATGTGCCATGGAAGATAAGAGAGATGTCAGTTGTTGCCGCACCCGGGCAGTTCGTATATGTAGTGTTTATACCAAAACACCAGCGAACAAGGATTGGTCTCGTTGGCTTTGTGGAGCTATGACCCCCTACCCAAGGAAGCACTCAGCTTAAAGGTTAACAGCCTTAACGAGGAAGTCACGGATTATAATGTGACTCTCTTTCCACTCAAATTGTCTGAACGAAGGAGGAACAGCAATCAAGCTCAAGAGGCTTCTATCGGTCCTAACATTAATTCATGTACTCGTCAGGTCTACAAATTAACGGTCTGACTAGCGCCCCAGGCTATGTGGATGGGATAGAAATTTTAGCGTTGAAAGCCATGCGGGCCTCCCGCGCAAGTGTGGGTTAGGTACAGAGGAGAATGGTTATCTGTTTGACTGGCATCACCTTTCTTCAGTCGTATCGCAATGCGAACAACCTACTAGTTATTCAGGTGTTTGTTGGAACAGGCAGGAAGCTGTTCTGGGATCATCGCAAAATGTCAGGTGCTTTCCCTTACTTGGCGTAGAGGTCTGATCTCTATTTAAAGAGAGCTTCTTCCCTCTGTTCTGCTCCCTCTTCTTCCTCTTGTTCTCTATCGCGAACACCAATTTTCCAATTGACCTTAACCGGCAGACGCTGCAGAAAAACCAGCCATAATTCGATCTTCTCTTTCTTCCGACTTGATCAGTAATCACATTCTCCTCCAAAATGCCTAGCGGAAACGGATACAGCTACAAGGGCCATGGCACCAACAGCCAGGTATGGTGTAGATACTCTTTCACTGCCACTCACATCTCCTTCCCCAGAAAGATGTCATTGCGCCGGCTTGGCCATATCAAGCCCAGTATAGAAGCAACCGGCAACGCTGACACGCCAACTTGCTGTAGGGCAACCACTACTGCGCCCGTGACTACGGCAACGGATCCAATGCGTATCACTATTCCAACACGTAAGAAAGACCTTGACTATCTCTCTGGGGGAGTGGAGCGAGTAATCATTTGGCCAACAACTTGACAGCAACGGATCCTACTACTGCTCCATCCCGAACGGTAGCACTTACTACAACAGCGGCAGTGGATCTTCCACGTACACTTCGCCCAGTGGTAACTCGTACTCGAGCTCCGGCTCTGGCTCCGGCTCCGGCTCTTCTGGAAATTCCAAGTGAGATGTGAGGGGGAATACCTGAGTGATGGTTTGGAAGCCAGGGAAGATAGTCCGGTGAATGTTCGCTAGGCAAAATGGAAATTCAACAGGGTTGACAGGACCAGGGCAGTTTTGAGAGCCAATTTGGTCGCATGAAAGAGAGGCATAGCATTTGACTTATTAGCATGAACCCAAATGGAAAACCCCAATTCACTATCCTGCTTATCTCGATGCTACCAAGTGGAAGCTTGTGATTGTCCATCCAAATTGTTCTTCCAAGTGACGCTTCAAAATCCCGTAGGCTCAATCCTCTTTCACGTCTCTTGCCCACCAAACAGCTTCGATTCATCCATTCGGCCCGGTCTTAGTTCCAAAGCGAAGCACTCAATCCCATAACCGCAGAAGCAGCTATCATCGCCGCCCTGCCCAGATTCAACACACCCCATTGATCAACCCAATACTTTGCCCCGACTTCCACAGCCTTCATATCCACCTTTTCGCCCAAGCCAACCTCATCGTCACCTTCCCTAGAAGAATCCTCCTCCTCTACATTTCTTTCCCTTTCCTTCTCTTTCTCTTTACCCTTCCCCTTACCATCTTTATCACTACCCTCCCTTCCCTTCTTCCTCTCCATACCCTTCCCCCTAACCGACTGCCTCCTCTTCAGCCCCCCACTACTCCCACCACCGCCCAACTCCCCAACCTCCACATCCACTCCCTTCTGCCTCATCGCCCTCTCCACGGCCTCCGCCCTCGCCACCAACCTCCTCTCCACTCCTCCGAGCACCACCCACCCATACGGCGCCATACCCAGCACCAACAGCGCTCCAGCAACAGCGTACATTCTCCCCCTCTTCACCAACTTCAACGCTTGCATCCCTCTCCCACCACTCACGATTTCCGAAGAATACCGAACGCCAAAACGCCAAGCCAGCAAGAGATAGCCCAACGCCGCGGCGGCGCCGGCCCGGTTCAAAGTGGAAAACGTCTGCTCGTAAGTGCGCCGCCACTGGGTGAGCATCAGCGGGGTGGGTGACTCGAGAAGGCGAGGCACCAGGAAGAAGGACAGGGAGAGGGAGGCGCCCGTAGCGGAGGCGGAGAGGAGCACGGAGAGGGATTGGACCACGTGTGTTAAGGAGCCGGTTTGCGGGTTCAAGAGGGCGGAGAGAATTGCTACGAGTGAGGAGGGGGTGAGGATGCCGGGATCGATGAGACCGGCGGGGACGGGGCCGGAAGGGGTCGGTGGTGGTGAGATGGAGATGAAAGACATGGTGGGATGGCTGGTTGGTTATAGAGCTTGTGGTTTGCGAAATGCTCGGGTCGCTTGAATGTAGCAAGTGGTGGATGTTATGCGTGAACCGACTCGGTGGTGTAAGTCGAGGTGGATCTGCTTGAAATATGAAGTGGCTTTAGGGTTGACAATGAGGTTTCCAACGCGACAATGACAGTCCCTTGGTACCTCACCCCGGTTTATCGTCGCCAGAAAGGTTGCGGATCAAGTTTGGGTTGTCGTTGGTGTTGTAGTTGTTTGCGGAGAGCGAACATGGAATGGGGTAGAGGTATGGTGATGCCAAGCCAGGTGCTGGGGAGCTTGTTGTTTGTTAGCGCCCTGATCCCTGTCTCGTTAGTCGACTCCAGCGAGAAATGATCATCGCTGCTATCGAAGCGAAGCAAAGTGCGGGGTACGGGGTGCGCACTTTCTACGCTACGGAAGCTTACGAGAAAACAAAATGCAGAAATAATTCGACCTTGATGTTCCACAGGTCTTCCGACTACCGTTTCCCGTGTGAATGTCCTTCACACTCATATTTCTCTTATCTCTAGCGCTACGTCGTCAAAAATACCAATCGACAGATACTATGAAGAGCAACAAGTGTTGTGAAAGTGAACACGAGGGAGTTGCCTCAGCTGAAGTCGCCAGCACAGAAAGGGGCTTTGTTTACATTTTACCTAGTTAGGTTAGTATGTTGCATCGCCAGGTGCTGTTTCTGTGGGCTCCAACAGCTTGTGAGGGAAAACCGGAGTTATACCATACGGCGAGAAATGAAGGTTCAATTCAGTTTTCCACCAATCTTTACCAGACTGGATGGTGTGCTGCGCACTTATTAAAGAATTATGAGATCACCCAAAAGTTGTTTTCACTCGAGACAAAGCACGCGTATCATTCTTAAACTCCAGACTCCGTTTCTAATTCGTGTCCTCAATTATCCCAACAGCGACCGTTGAGATTACTCTCACCCGGCGTTCATCTCCATTCATCTTCCAACAAAACCATCTTTATCGTGCCGATTGCCGCATTCAATCAGAAAGTACTCCATACCGAGCCTCTATCTCCACGCAACACCAGACGGAATTAGAACTAGACCAGAACGAGACCAAACAGAACAAGGTGAATGCTAAAAAACCAAGACCAAAACTCCAACACAACCGTCTTTATCCATACTTCTACACAAACGCCGAAACTGGTACTGATGAATTACCCCATGCCGAATTCATCCACGCACAATGAGACAAGACCAACACCAAAAGCCAACACCAATACTCCAAAAATAATAATAAAAAATGGACATAATCAAGACAGAATCAAGACTTGAAGCAAAAGTCCACTGCCACCACATATTCCACCGCGGACCCCAAATCTAGGAAAATATTTTTACTCTCCAGCGCCGAAACACCAAACTCCAGATCCCTTCAAACGAGTGACAGAATGAGCAATCCCTTTTATGCCATTCATCCTTCAGCTCTCATTGCAAAAAAAATTACACAAGAATGTATTGTTGCTTGAATGACAGTGGTATGGCTGCGAGATGCGCGAAAAATCAAGAGTGGCGGTTTGATATCGGAGTCTCAGAATGCATAAGATGGGTGTTTTCAAGGACGATCATTCTTCGCGCGGGTGGCTAAGAGTGTTGCGAGGACTGCAATACCACACAGCCAAAGCATCGAGATGACGCTCCCTAAAATCAAGACTTTCCGGCGTTGTCGATGGTTCAGGCTGCCGACTTCTCCTTTGGTGAACCATGCCAGTGTCGTGTCAAACGTTCCTTTATAAACGAGGGGCGCCATGAACGGAAAGACGCAGAGGAAACACAAAAACCAGAAGAATTGTTTTCGGCGGCGTCGCGCTTCCCAGGAGAGGTAGCCGTCCTCTTCGTCAAGTCTGAAAGGGTCAGTTACGTTCAGATTGGCGATTTGGTGGAGATATGAACCTTCACCATCAACGCGCGAAGTTCTTTTATCTTTTCCCCAAAGGTGAGGGCGCTCGAAGGGAATGCCCCATGAACATCTGTAGCTCGAGGCACTCCGTGTTGAGCCGTGTGCAGAGCTGAAAGGGTTTCGGCAAGACCGCGGGAACACTGGTCTACCAGGGGCTGGTGGGCTAGCGCTGCTCAAGGTTGACAAACGAGTTGCCTTCCGCCCCTTGCTGGTAACTTGGTTTTCTGCAAAAATGTTAGCACATGGAACTGATAAGTCAAGCCAGGGTCATGCATACGGATTGAGAGGCGGTGGTTGGAGACAGGCTCGTGATAGTGAGTGGGCAATGGCTTTCTCGGCAGGGTATGTGGAGTGGAGGGCGCCACTCTCTTCGTCAGTTTGTTGGATGCCTTCCACGAAATGCAAGATACAAGACTGTCCTTTCGTGTCCGAGTACTGCTCTGAAAGGTGTGGTCATTCGCGTCGCTTCGTCGCTTCATCGCCTGCAGCCTTGCGGCCTCTTCCAAGGGTATCAATGGGAAGCTGAATTGAACTGGCGATTCCGGGCCGAACGATTTATCGGTTTGAAGAGAATCGTGGGCTCGGGGAGTTTGCGGTGGGAGTTCAGCTAGTTTCAAGCCATGCTCTCTTCGTTGCTTGTCGCTGTCCGGGCCGGATTGATTGCTCCTATAGGGATGTCTCCCATCGATGTTCTTGTTGGAGGTCAGAGAACGGAACGGGGCAGTGAGTTTCTCGGCCAAGTATGCTCTTGTAGATGAGCCCTGGCTGCTTGATGTCGTGGCTTGGTCAAATAGTCGGCATGAATCTTGGGGATAGCCGTTAACTCGATGGATCCTTGGTTGAGGAAGGAAGACTGGGCGGTTGTCACCCTTGAGTGTCCGAATGACGTAGTTGTCGTACTTCCCATTCATCGGATGTTGCATAATCTTTTCGGTTGATGCAAAAGCGCCAAAGGTTTCAGCGAGGCTTGAGGCGTCAGAGTAGTCTGCAATGCTGCTTCCTGTGGTCCTCAAGCCGAAATGAGTGCCGAAGCCAGTCCCGGACGCATAAGCTCGATGGCTGTTGAACTGGCCAACACTGGAACCGACTGTCTCCCACTCCCCTCCATCGCTCTTAACAGCATCGAGGTTCGACCCGACTGTCTCCCAATCACCTCCGTCGGTCTTAACAGCATCGAGGTTCTGTTGAAGAGCACGGTTAGCAAACTGAAGAGGCGAAGGATCAGATCCAACATGTGACTGGACAGATTCTCTCACCTCGTCAAACTCTTCATCGAATTCGTCCCATGCAAGGTGTTGGGCGGGATAAGATCGTAGATCGAGTTTCTTCATGATACGCTTGTCGGGAATGTTGTTATCTCTTTGAGCGGAGTTGTAATATGTGAGCCCATTTGAAGGAGGCATGGGAGGTGCCGCAGAGCCAACTGGGCCACGCGTGGCTGATACATGGCCAGTGTGGTCAGTCTTGTTGGTACAAGTGGTGCTGACGCCACTGACACGGTGAAGCGCAGCACTGACTTCTCTTTCCCGAGATGGCTGAAGGAAGACCGTGTATGATCCCCGGTCGTACTTGAATGGATCGTCGTCAGAGTCTGTTGTAAGACCGCCTGTCGAGAAGGCTGCGTTGGACAACGCGCCACTGCCGGTGGTAGTCTCACGAGCCGCTTGGTTGTTGTTTGACTCGTGGCGGCTGGCTTCGACGTAATGGTTGCCCTTCCTGGAAGTCGCAAATGTTCCGACATTGTTTTCGTCGCAATTATCGAGAAGGTCTTCGATGTCGACAGAGCTCGCGGTTGACATGGTTGACCAGGAGTGTTCCCGGAAGATGTTGTTATGACACTCTGGGGTGCTGGTATGGTCCTCTGGGAGGTTGGCACGGATCACTGAGGGATTGACTGCATGAATTGGCGGCTGAGGAATCCGAGGAGGGGATCCATGAATGCGATAAAGCTTTGAAGTACAGCCAAAGGGGACAGAGGTGATGTTTTCTCGGGTCTGAGGAGGCTCGACGGTCTCTCCATTGTCCAAGGAGTGGTGGACACTTGCATCATTGGTGGATTGGCTGTGCTGGCCGTCGGCTGAGGGTGAAGAGTCAATGGTGGCCGAAGGTAGGTACTGATCCACGATGTTTTCGACGGTGCTTCCAGTCTCGCGAGGTGTGTTGATGGAGTTGTCAGGAGTGTGGTTGTCAACAGGGTCCTTTGCGACGTGATAACTGGCACGAGCAGCCGGAGTCATCTCTTCCCAGTCAGGGTAGGGAAGGGTACGAGTGCTGAAGTCAGGAACACTGGATGAACGGCGACGCAAGTGTGTAGGACTGATGCGACGTCCGCGGGAGAAGCCATCATGAGTCGGGCAGCGGTGGGACTCGGTGGCGGAATGCTCGTCGGCGTCGGTGGTCGACTTGGAGTAGACGGCATTGACGGAAGAGCCAGCAGATGACTCGCCAGGGATCAAGGCAGAGTGAGCGCCGTTATCCGTAATGTGTGCGGCTTGTTTCGCGGCTCTGGTGGTGATGGCTTGATGGGCCTCGTCGAGACTGGTGAAGACATGTCTCGGAGTAATGGAGCGCTCTCTGGGCAGTGACGACACGGTCGAGCCTGCAGACTTGACCGAAGCGGGCATGTGGTTGATGGTAGGCTCGTTGATATGATGGTTGCCGATGAGGTGGCTGGTGAAAGCGCCAAAGCTGGTAGAGGTCGTCATGGTGTTGATGTTGTTTGATAGATGTTGGATGAGCAAGCGCGATGTGTCAAGATGGTGAATGACAAGTGCGGTTGAAGTTGACGGGGTTGCGGATGATGGTTTGAAAACAATTCAAGAAGAAGATGCTTTGCAGTGTGCTTGGATGGTTCTTGCGATGGTTGAAAGCGTTGGTTCAGACAAAAACGTGTTGCAGTTGATGATCAGTTGCTCTTGCGAAGTTGTTGTAAAGTGGAAAAGCTGGGAGAAGGAGACCAGACCTTGGGCACTGCTCTCTGGCTCAGAACCAACCTGATTGGAGGGGAAGGCGCTCTGGTTGGATGCTTTGAGAAGGAAGGAGCGCGATTTGGGTCTGCGCGTTAGGGGTTGAAACGCGCTGGGAAAGGCGAACGATGGAAGGCGCACGCTGCCAAAGCCGCAAAGAGGAGGAAGGTGCAATCTGCGAGTCCCCTTGACAGGCCGCGATGGGATTCCGTAACCTTTCATCTTGTCGCAACTGAGCGTTGGTTCAAGGTCGTCCGGTGTGCATGGAAGGGGACAAGCTCGTAGTTCTTATCATGATCACATGCATGCGATGGTAGCCGTAAGACTTGCCATTTACGCTGCTCGCTTGGGGCTACAGTCAAGCTGGAGATTCGATTCCCAATAATAATAATGCCTCAAAGCTGTAATAGGCTTTGGAAAAGGGGAGACACTAGTAAGTAGGGTGTAGGTGGTCGAAAACAAACCTTGATATCAAAGGGTGGTGTTGCTCGTTGTAGATCCAGGCCAACCTTGATGGAGACATAGCGGGCCATGACCAAACGCACCATTACAAAGAACTGCGCTCTTTAACTGGCAACATACAGAAAGAGAACTGAACTGCATGACCCGGTCTGTGACTTCCCATAGCTTCTCGGCAATCTCAACATCTTGACTGTCTTGTGAAGTACCTCTAGTTCGAATGAGCATGTAGATCCAGCCAGGTGAGCAGGGTAGTTAGGAAGCATTGAAGCACAAGATACAAACGCAAAACTCCACGAGTTACATGGCTTCCGTATGAGATATATAGTTTTTTCCTTTCGGCATCGAGCAGCTTTCGGCATATAGACCCCCCAGGGCTGTGACACCTTGTAGACCATCCTATGTTTACCAGTTTATGGGCTCATAATTCGATCAAATAACACTATAACTGTCTCAATAAGTCAAAAGTGATATCGTTCCCAGGCAGGTTTTAAGAAGATATCCGTTTCCAGAAGATCAAGACCCGAGTGTCCTCTTAATGCAGGCTATTGTTGTCACCTGGATTCAGTGTCAAATTGTGAAATGGGTTGCCAAGAGGAGGCGTATGCCAGTCATCATTCCGTGTACATTAAATCAGTGATGTAACAGGATCTCGAGTTATTCTTTCGCAAGGATCGCACATGTAGCTTCAACATACCATATGCAAGTTGTCGCCCCTGATCCCCTACTCCATGGATGCTGCTTCACTCCACTCTTTTGTTTACATGTTTTCCGAACTGAATTCTAGCGATAGAAGAAATGATACATGGAAGAGAAGAGAATCATAGGGAATTCCAAAGTTGGAGAAGAAGGCTGTACACCATATATCGCCCAATAACAAAGGAGGTCGTCTAGTGGATGATTCTGACAGCATTCGGAAAGCCATCACACCCGCCATAGCACTGATGTAGTCTGTAACACCAGACTAGTTATACACTAAAATACCCTACTGGCAGACGTTGTGACATCATCCGACCATGTCTCAGAGTCTCTCAACCCTTTCCCAGTCCATACGGAAAGCCAGGTGTGCCAGTTTCCGACCCCTGAAGACTACATGAAGCAACTTTGGACGGCACGGACGGTTAGGTGAACTTGGATCGAGTGTCGTTGGGAAGAGGCTCTAAGGATCTAGACCGGTCCATGCAAAAACCACGCCGCTTATGTACAGGCGTGGCTTTATCGAAGTTGCATTGCATCCGTGATCCCATTGGTCGGCGCCGAGTCCATGTCGACACCGACCCACAATCCCACACACGGCTAGTTATCGCGAAGCCAGTAGCCCAGGTTATCGCAGAAGAGTCAGGGGAGCCAAGACGAAGGGGCCGGGCTAACCCCACCAGGCCTTTCACCTTCTTCACCCAGTCAACCAACGGGACCTTTCTGTTGATTGTCAGAACCGGCAGACCGTGCCGTGCGCCAGTTGCCTGCCCTGTCTGTGTCCGTCTTTCGGCATTCTGGTGGGGCAAGGTTCCCGGTCTGGGGGCGCAGCAGCATGCCCGGAGCTGGACGCCCAGTGGTCGACATGGGCTCTCTTCGCCGGTGGGCGTGGCGTGCACTGTGGTTCCTTCCCTTGTCATCGCGATCGGTAACCCGACGCCCGTAACACCTACCCTAACCCCTAACCCAACAGGGCCGGACTCGACTTCACAGGCAGGGCACCCGCCCCCCGGTCCCGGTGACACCTGAACCATCCACAAAGCCACAACTGGAAACCATCACCCACCACACCGGATTGCATCAAGGGAAACTGAACCAATCTACCTAAGTGAACCCAGAGCAACCAACATTCGTGAAGCTTCCACACATCGCATCACACACGCAGAGGCACCGCAGAAACGCACCTCCGCAGGCGCGCGCTCACACACACAAACGCAAGAGCTGCTTGTGTCTGATCAGCGTGTTTCGACAGGTTCTTTCTGCGGGCTGGTCTTCATTTTTTCGTGCATTGATATACGCCGGCACCTCTCCCAGTAAACATGACTCGCCCGGTCCTCGCTCGCTAAACCGAACCACAACGCTGTCCTTATCGATACCCTACACGAGATATAGCTACAACAGGCTTCCAGCAGCATTGCTTACAAGACGATTTCGATGCCAAACTCGTAGCTCAGGGGAGCTTGGACTGAGTGGCTGGGACAGGTGTCACAAGTCAGACAGAGTCCTCGAGTTGATAGCAACAGCAAAGGGACCCCACATAATAACCCGACAATGGGAAATGGGCGAGATCAGATGAGGGCGGCTACTGCTACTCCGCAGGCGCCTAGCCTTGAGAGCTTTCCTAATGAGATCAAACTCCACATACTATCGTGTAAGTCTAAACTGGCACCTACACTATCACATGTCCCCTGTCTTCCAACCCGGGGTAGCCCACAAAGGCCCTCTAGCTAGCCACAGGCACCTCAATCACGGGTCAAGAGGTATAAGCTGACAAGTTGTCTGTTGCTCGCCTAGTCCTCGAAGCACCGCACATTACGAACCTGCAACTGGTATCCCGCGCTTTTCGAGACCTTGGACGAGACAATAGCTTCTGGCGTTCGCGATGCCTGCAAGAATCTTCCTTTCTCGAAAGTCTCGAACGACGACGGGCGTTTGGCCGGCTAGCCACCCAGGGCCTCAGCGGAACATTTCAGATCCAGCCCGATGAGAGTGCAATGGGGACAATTTGGCAAGGCGCTTATCCTTCGCCCGACAGCAGCAGCACCAACACTCCTGGCAATGGAAGCTGGGCGACACCGCCAACGCCGACAATTCTCAAGAGCTTTCGCGCATCCAGCAAGAAGGAGCAGATGCGGATCATGGCCAACTGGGACCCCTGCTTTCCTACCGAGAGGGTTTCCTGGTATGAGGAGTATATCCAGCGTCATGCACCCGTTGTCATCAACTGGCTTCCGCTTCCCCATGTTAATGGCCCCAAGTCCGAATACGTTGAGGCAAGAGGTGTTGCTCTGTACCGGCCTGACAATCCCCGTCCTGAGCATGGTGTTGAGGCAGCTTCTGATGAAACACTCCTTGCTGTATCGCCGCTAGACGATGGCAGTGTCTGCATCTGGGACGTGAATGGAGCAAGAGGACGAAAGGGAGCGATGCTAGCTAAGAGCGCACCCGGGCTTCTGCTGATAAACGGCCCAGGTACAGATAACAGCAAGCGGTCGCAACGGGTAGACTCAGGCGTTACCGAATGTGTCAGTGTTGACAGCAGCCTTCATCGAGCTTTTTTTGCAGTCCAAAACCGTACGTCATTAACCCAAGGTTATTTAAACTGAGCGTTCTGTGCGAATTTTCAGTAAGCTAACTCATGTGCGCCTTGGCACTTCTCCTGAGGAGCAGACATTATCGAAGTTGATTTGCAGAGACTCTCTGTTGTCGACTGCGAATCATTTCCTTGGTCTATTACAGCCTTATCCGCGGCCAGCCCTACAGTACCACTCACCGTTGGAACGAATCTAGAACTTCACCTGCACGACTATCGTTCCCGGCGACGGTTTCGAAGTGCCCCTGAAGACGACCAAGTTGACTTCAACTTTACCGGCGCACAGGCTATGTACGAACGTGGGATCAGAAACATCTTCAGCGACGAGCCGGTTGGCTCCTGGACATCACTTGCGCAACCGGGACCGTTGAGTATTCTACATCTTCAGCGGCCCGGCCAACAAGCGGAGTTGTCAGACGACATATACGTTGCTGGTCGATTTTCGCACATCCTACATTATGACAGACGTAATTTGTCAAGAATCAGAGGGTCGATCAACTCGAAAGCAAGACTATGCAGCATGGCATCACTCCCCTCCCCCTTCTCTAAGCGAGACAGTGAGCTTCGGCGCAAAGGAGAACTCACATTGCAACAAGTCGAGGGGTCGAAGAGTCTTAATGGCGGCAGAACTTTGATCGCCGGTGGAGACTATAACATGAAAGGTTCCCTCGAGATTTATGGCCTAGCACCACCAGACTCTGGTAAAACTTTGATGGGGGACTTGGATGACTTTGCGTACCAGAACCGTCAGTCAGCGTCAGCCTCAAAGGTTCTCTCGGTTGCGAACCATGGCACCCGGATTGTTTTCTCGGACGGATCCGGCTACATAAAGTGGTTCGAAAGGGACGGCTTCACCGAGGTCCGCCGGTGTAGGATCGGGCACAGCGAAGAGGCTCAAGGGCCATCTATTTTTGCCTCAATGCCAGGCTCCTCGGACATAGCCAGGAAACTACTCCCGACACGGGCAGGCGAAGCCAAGCAGAAGATCAACGACAATGGCCTGCTGTTTTGGACGGGTGAGAGGTTAGGGTTGTTGAACTTTAGCGCGCGCCCCGGCTTTACAGCTGAGGAGTTCGAGGAGAAAGTTGAGGCTGTCGACGACGAGACACGGGCAAAAGAGCGGGAGGAGAGAGATTACACTGAAACAATGCGTCGCGCATTGCAGAATCACACTGACGGCATCATGTTTACGAGACACTTTGGCCTCGGCAACGGTTCTTTGAACTGATTGCCCGCCCCATCTGCCTGGCTAACACTCGTTTCGGAAATGGATATGCTGTGCGCCGCTAAACGTTGGCGGGCAATTACTTTGGAATATGATCGGATCGAAGGTCATGATGGCTATCGAGGCTGGATACAATGTCAGTGCCCTATAAAGACGAGCAGCGATAATTGACTCATTGATGATAACGACGGGTGGTTCTTTGAGGAGTTTTAGGGGTCCTACGCCGTTTGCATGTCGTTTTGAGTGGATAGCTAGAGATATACCCAATACATAAGAGGATTAGCGATGTATTCACACTTGTCCCGTATTGCGATTCATTGATGTCTCCCGGACTCCTCAGAATGGGTCATGAACAGAGAACTGATCAGTAAGGATGGTGTAGTTATTTTTCCCTGGGAGCCTGAGTGTCCACCCGGCATAACAAACCAATCCTGAGGATTTGGGGCTTGAAGCGGCCCGTTTTGTTTCATCGTTGTGTTTCGACCGCCTTACAAGTTGACAAGGCACTATGTACGCAGATTGTTGAGAAAAAGGTCCGGTCACGCTTATAGCAAACCAGATCCAGCGAGTGTTCGGACCTCTTTCCACACCACCTGGAACGGTGCTCGGAAGTGTCGTCAGCCCCAGGTTGAACTGAGGGAAGAGAAAATGTGATTAGGAGAGAGAAGCCGGCAATGGGCAAAAGCGAGGCGACCAATGATAATGAGAACCAAGTCATAGCAAGTCAGCCCAGGCCAATCGCACAGGAGGTCTGGTTATGTCTAAGGGATCAACCATCCTACCACCTTCTACCATTGAGCGCAGCAAAGCCGGTATCTTAAATGATCGTTAGATCTGAGGTGAGCAGCTGCGCCACGGACCAGAAATCATCTTTTCAGAAAACATCCTTTTGCTTCCAATTCAGGGTCATCCAAGACCGACCCGTTAGCCTGATGTCCGGCTGCGGGCCCTTCCTGCAACCAGAACTGTGGGGGTAAACGGCATTTGCGCAGCAGCTGAACTCCACTTTTGACACTTGTCCGCTGTGCCCCCGGTGCCCCCGTGCACTACACGTGCAGATCCTACATATCCCGTCAGTGCTCAAAGCTTCTAATCACCACCACCCTGGGAACTCTTTTGGAGGTGGACAATTCTCTAGTGGAGTCAAAGGTCTTAGCGACGGGACACCTTTCCTTCTCTGTGATATTTCCCCCTGCTTTCAACTAGGTATCCAGGATGCCAGGCTACTTTTCGTTAGTTAAGAGTCTCCCGTGACTTCGAAATCGCGATCGATACCTACCTCTACCCTCGAACCTCGGTATAGCCAAAACAGGTAATCCACTGTTGGCGAGGTTGATCCATGGTTAGAATTCCCCAGAGTCTTGGTTGTCTTCAAGTTACCCATCCACCCATCCCCCGGCCGGTTGTACCACCTACCTAGCGCCGGACATCGATAGAGAAACCGAAAACCCAAAGGAGAAAAAAAAAAAAAAAAGAAAGAAAAAAAAGCTTGCGGATGTTGCGGATGTCGTCCTGGTATTGACAGGCAAATCGAGATACAGTGGCCCTGTGGTTCATCTAAATGGTACAGCTACAAGTAGGATTTGGACAAGTCACGGCACCTTCTTCTTCAGCTCGGCACACCGCTTTAGGCTGGATGACATCTCTCACTTCTCAAGTTCAACTTCTGTTGAATTTTCCTGTAACACGCAAACCCGAGCAAAGGGATAAGCGAACTCCCAACAATGAAGGAAAAGAAAGATGGCTGGGAAAAAGGAGATAACGGAAAGTGTGGTCTTTTCTATATTTTCTTTCTCCAACAAGCCTCCATCTACGGGCAGATTGGACAGAAGAGTAAAACATGAAACACCTGCTGACCCTTTCTGTTGTTTCGTTGTTCGTTTGCTGTTCGCTGTACGCTGTTATGCCAGTGTGGTAATTGATCGCTGCCGAACGAACGGCATGCTTTGGAGTGGGCGTGAAGACATGCCCGATGATGCACAAGGGAAGAAGTGTGATCCTGTACGTACACTCCGTCGGTAGAGGTACTTGCTGATGAACGGCAGCCACTGTGTCCGTTCGGATGCTACCCCACTGCCAGGTTGTCTGGGGCTGGGCTGGGCTGGGCCGGGCTGCTTGCTTGCCTGCTTGCCAGACTTTTGCTTGGGTGTCTTCTTCGGTGTCTTGGATTTTCCCGCCGGCCTTGCTGCATCGTTATCGGGTTTGCAATGGGCACTTCCATTTTGTTGACCGCTTGGTTGGGGAAGTTTCTCTTGCCAACATTCTAGATCTTCGCTTTCTTTGTTGTGTGCTGCTGGCATGTTTTCTTTCCTGGCTGTTCTCATGATCATCATTTCCGACATGCCCCAGATACCCAAGTGCACGTCAGGTGGCATCCACATCTTCAAGATGATATGAGGTAACGCCAATGCGGTCCAAGTCCTTTTTTAGGCGCCCATCAAGGTGCATTTGGTTACTCGCGTGTTCAATGGAGGACCACTAAAATGATGGGTTTACCAAGTCAAAGGCCCTTTGGACTTCTGGCCGGGACGGGGCCGGGATCATCCCAAGAACGACCGGCCACCCACTGGACGTCCGCCAAGTGAGGCGGCGGATCTCTTTAGGTCCAAACCCGCGAAGAGGTTCGGCTCTCGTTGCCGTTCGTTAAGGTACTTGTACGTTGGTGTCAAGTGGCACTGGATGGACCATATCGGCTGCTGGATCTTCTTCTTGGGTACCTTTACGGCCTTCATTCACAGTCTGGTGTGTGCCACTGACTGATTCAGTTGCTGCGAACCCGGTTCCGGTTCGAGTCGTTTCGTGTAATCGGCACTCCCCAGTTCTCCCTGGGAACCTCGAAGGCAGAACCGGCTCAGCTCCGCTTATATACCTACCTTTATATACACATGCCACACCACCTAACCCCCCCTTGTCACACCACCTGTTTGCTTCACTTTCAGTTTTGCTTTTTTTCCTAGGGAAGTTTAATTTTCTGCTTTTGGGTTTCCTATATTGAAGCAAAAGGGAAAATTACCCTTTTCCCTCTTCACTCTGTCTCACCCTTCTTTATCCGCCGAGCATGTCCGATGGCCTTCCCAGTGTATGGCGGGCATGAGCACCCGTCGATCCGACCCTATTCCGTCCCTCCTTTCCCGGTCAAGCGCCGGACCGCCGATTTTGACGACGAAAACCACGATGAAGACGGTTCAAGATATAAGAGATACAGATCTGCTCAGAAGGTGAACAGGGGAAGTGCAGGATACAATGATGGGAGTTGGTCGCAACATCATCATTACCATCAACAACCAGTCAAGGGCGGAAGTGAAGAGGACACATGGTTCATGGCCGCTCGGGGCACGCACGATCAGCATTACCGGCATCAAGTTCATTTTCATGCAGCGTCGTATCACCAGCAGCAGCACAACCATCACCATCACCACCACCACCACCACCGCCATGCTCATCACCAGCAAACCCAACAACAGTCTCAGTCCCCAGAACCAAGCTCGTCTGCAATGGAGAGAACTGCATCAGGTCACTCAATCCGAGCCGAACCGACTCCAGCAGGTCCCGGCGGTGGCACCGAGTTATTGGAGGATGATATAGCAGCAGAGAGGGTCCGGGCTCACATGGCCAACTTTCGACGCAAGTTTCCCGACTCAAAGCATGAGCGCATCCTCCGGAGCATCATTAACCCACGGATCAACGCCGAAGATGCGCTGGACAATGATTCTCTCGAGAGCATATTTTCAGCCGCAAACGAGATCTTCTTCAATGGCCGTCTCAGCCAGCGGGTACGGTGGGATTGGTCAGACGAATCAAGCACGCGGTACGACAGCAGGGTCATTGGCACGACTGCTTTGCGAAGGGCACATCCGACTACGAGGGGGTTCGAAACGCTCATCGTGTTGTCGGCCCCCATACTGAAGCACTCCAACTACAGTCGACGACTGCTTATATCGACCTTTCTTCATGAGTTGATTCACAGCTACCTGTTCATCTGCCGCGGGTTTCGAGCTAGGGAGTGTGGTGGGCACACCAAGGGGTTTCTGACGATTGCGAAACTGGTGGATGACTGGGCAGGTCCGGAGAGTGCGCTCTACTTGAGCGAGGCGGAAGCGGATTTGGAACGGTTTCGGGTTGGAGGACCGAACGACAACAACAGATCCCACGGATCTGAACGTTTCGAGCGGAGGGAACACAGTTTCTACCCATGTTCCGGGATCATGGAGCAACGAAGGGATCATGCGACGGCTATTGAGGTTAGGAGTTACAACACTACTCCTAATAGTGGCAGTTCTAACGCATTTCATGAGAACTACTACCAAACCAACACCAGGAGCGGTAGTTTCATCAACAACAACACCAGTGCCAGCACCAGCAGCTGGTGGATCCAGCCTGTCCGATCCTTTTGTACTGCCGATGAAAGGAGCCCGTTTATACGTTTCAATTAATGCCCCAGGCTTAGAAAAGGTCTGGAGGTCATGATCATTATACCATACATATAATCGATAAGAAAAAAAGAACAATAGCGACAAAGTCCCTGAGCATCAAAGATTCAAACTTTCTCAAAATGAACTCTAGCAGTTATCAAGTACATATGAGCAACTTCTATCTACGCATAGCATCGGTAGTATCAGTATCATCAGCACCAACAACACGATCGCCATATATACATCATTCAGCTGCATTGCGATGGAGTCACAAGACGTTAGGCAACGGGCGTCAGGGGGCATATCATTTGTGTATCCAAGTTTATATTCGTATGATTTACTTCAGTTTTCACGTTGGAATTGTTGGCAGACAGGAGTAGTGCAGGGCAACATGACAAGTTTTTTTGTAGGCAGTATCATCAGACAGCACGGTAGACCAAAAGTCGTTCGCTTGACGGACTGGTTAATTCACAAGGGATCTTGGCATTATTCACCATTCTACACTATACGAAAAAGGACTGAACATTAACTTTGCAGGACCAAGTTACTCAGGGAGACCGTAGCCTATCATCAAATTTGTCCTCTATTTACCTATGAAAGTCCTTGATGGGGGGCACGTCAGAATTCTCCACCTCTCTACTTCTTCCATACCTATGTACAAAACGCCGAACATGCCCAAAAAAATATGTTGGGATACTACCACAACACCAAGCAACAAAGTTTGTAATGCAAGAATCACTTCCAATCCAGCGGGATCCAGAAGCCTAAGTAGGTAAGGTACCCAAGCCCCCATCATCCAGAAAGCTTTTCTCTCTCCTAGCCCATAACTTTTAGTCTCCCACCACCACAAACATTCTGGTCTCTCTCTCTCAGTCATTATTATTCCAAATGCCATCCCGGCAAAGCACAGCTACCTTCTTGAAGAACCTCCTCCACTCCAACGGATCCCCCTTGATCTTGACAAACCTCACCTCCAACAACTCCGGCAATTCCTCCTCCTCATCGACGTTCATCCCACCATACTGCATCGATGACGTCCCATTCCCATAAACCAAATGATACCGATCAACTAATATATCACCATGCAAGCTCTGTCTGCGCCCATCAACCGTCTTGATCTTGAGCGTGACAATATGATCTACATCACCCTCAAAGGAGGTATTAGGTGATGTCGACGGCAGCGGGACATTGAGCTGGTGCAGCGCGTCGCGGAGCATTTGTACCAGCAGAGCGGGTGGCACGTGTGAGAAGAAGCGCGTGAGCGAGTATGAGGGGACGATGTCGCGGAAGCGGCGGGCGTGTTGCGTCAGGGACAGCGGCACGCCGGGCACGGCAGAGAACTGGCTCATGGTGGGCTCGTCGGCTAGGGCTTCGAGGGCCGAGGAGTAGGGGATTTTATTCTTGGAAGCAGTACTGCTGGGGATGCTGTTGGGGGTCATCATGGTTGTCATGGTTGTGCGGGGAGTGGTGGCGGTCAGGTTGACGGCCGCGGCGTCGTTACGCGCGACCGGCTGGGTCGAAGAGATGGCGCAGGAGCCGAGCGTCCGGGGCGCAGGGCGTTCCCAGTCGAAGAGGGCGTCGTTTATCGGGGTCTCGGGTTGCGTTGCGGACAGAACCTTGCTGGACCAGTCGCTTTCGATGGCGGAGTCGGGCTGGGAAGCCGGTGGCGGTTGGAAGACGGCGGCGCGGAGGTCGATGCGGAGACGGGCCAGCATTTGGGCAGCGAGCGCGATGGGGTCAATAACCATGCCTTCAGCGTTCAGCAGCGGGTTGTGCCGCGTGTACCAGGGGTGTTGGCGGATCTGGGTGAAGGAGAAGCGTTTGTTGGCTTCGATGTTCATCATGCCCCGGAGGAGCGAGAGGGCGTCAGAGGGCACCCGTTGCCAGAGCGGGTCGGTGCTCCGGCCGCTTGTGCGGACATATTCTTTGAACTCCCAGTTACCGTGAGTGGGCTCGTCCCAGGGGGTGTTGCCGACCAGGAGGACGAAGAGGATGACGCCGCAGGACCAGATATCGACAAGATCGGCCGAGTACTTGGTCTGCTCGGACGATGGTGCCCTTCGTTCCCTCTGCCTCGCGCAATGCAAAACCTCCGGAGCGATGTAAGGCGGGCTCCCGCACATGGTCGAACTCTGTTTTCGTGCACCCTTGTATTCGAACATGGTGGCCATACCAAAGTCTGCGATTTTCAGGATGCCGCTCTCGGAAAGGAGGATGTTCTCGGGTTTGAGGTCGCGATGGGCAACGCCCTTTGAATGCATAAAACTGACGCCGCTGATCAGTTGCTGAAAGTAGAGGTGAGCAATATCTTCCTCCAGGCCAACATCTGCCTCAATCTTGTCGAAAAGGTCACCTCCTTCAGCATACTCCATGGCAATCCATCTCCAGATCCTGTCTTCGCCAGTAGCGAACCACTCAATCACGTTTGGATGCTGGCCAATATGTGAGTGTAGCGATACCTCCATGGCAATCTGCTTCGCCGATATCCTGCCATGTCTTACGGCATACTCCTTGTGGATGAGCTTGACGGCAAATACCGGTGACGGTGCGTCGAGGGGTATCGCCTTTTTTATTCTGAGACATTTGGTCAGTAAGAACGCTGCAGCACGATGGGTTAGAGATCAAAGCACTCACGAGGCGTATGCTCCCCGTCCGATGGTCTTGGAGATGATGCGGAACGGAAGATCTGAAGGAAGAGGGTCCAGCTGAGACTGTTGCATTTTGCCGTCAATAACGGACGCAATTACGATTACGAAGATTTAGAGTACAAGTGAGATAGACAAAATTATGCGGGATCTCAAGAGAGTTCAGGGGTTTAAAGGAATGCGCTCCGTCGGTTCGTGCGCAGTCAGCAATCAAGTGTGTGTTTCCATCAAGAGTGGTGGTTGGGTTGGTTTGTATAAGTGTTAGGCTGATGCCTGGCACAAGCAAGTGGCGAGAGCCGCCTAGAATTATCAAACCAAAACAAAGTTCCTAAAAAGGAAAAGCGCAAATCGAGATGGAAAGGTGGAGGCAAAAAGCACTCACCATTTTGATGGACAACAGAACGGTGAATGCCAAGAGCGTGTCAGAGTGAAGAGAGTCGCGTATTCAGACGTTCACCACATGTGAACACTCAGCTAACCTCACCTGCTCTGGCGGGTGTTGTACAAACACTATGGACACTTCACGTGCAGATGCAGCTGAGGCCGCGTGTTGACAAGGTGATGACTCCCGTCCAGTGTCCCGGTTTGTTTGGTTGAGAAAGGGGATCCGGGAAACGCCTTGGAGGGATTGGAGCGCGAACTGTCCACTATTTCCACGCGCCGCGACTGCCTTGCGGCCTGGGAACCTGCAAAAGTTCATGCATGCCCTTAAATCTTTCCCCTGACAGCAACGCTCGGGCCCATCACGGTTGCTGGGGACCCTCCCGCGGTAACCTAGTCCGCTGTGGGGTTATTGGAGGCTGGTCCGTTCTTCAATCGTGTAGTGTAAACATTGATATAATATTTGCATTCGTCAGTTCCGTCCCTCCAAGCTTGGCGTCAACTGCCAAACTACATTTTGTTCCTTGCGCCTCCCATCCCCCATCTCAACCTTCATACATCTCCTAAGGTTGGCGCCGCCCCTCCTTGGTTGCAGGTACGTCGCCCTTCACCTCGCGGTTTAGAAGTCTTTATTAACCTGTTTAATTAGTACTCTTATCAACCTTGACCTCGATCATCCACCAGATATTGGTCTTCTTTGTTTTGCGATATTAGCCTCTTCGCCTGCTTTTCAGTTCGCCGACACAGACTGGTTATCCTACACCAAACATGGGAGATATCCAGAACTCTGCGCCCACTTTCGGCGCTAGGAAGAATATCGACCCCAGTCAAAATGCCGTCAAGAGGTCAGTCCACTTTTCACTGAGCTTGTGCATGTTTGATAGACAATGAATATGTTGATGTATCGGCTACTGACTGTTGATGACTGCAAACAGATTGCAGACGGAGCTTATGCAGCTAATGACATCGCCGGCGCCGGGCGTGTCTGCCTTCCCCTCTGCCGACGGCAATCTCCTTTCGTGGCGGGCTACCATCGAGGGACCTGAGGATACCCCTTATGCCGGCCTCACCTTCAAGCTTAGTTTTGAATTTCCTGCGAATTATCCTTACGCGCCGCCTACGGTGCTGTTCAGAACCCCGATCTACCATCCCAACGTGGACTTCTCTGGACGCATCTGTCTCGACATCCTCAAGGATAAGTGGACTGCTGCTTACAACACTCAGACCGTCCTGTTGAGCTTGCAATCCCTGCTTGGAGAGCCGAACAAGTAAGGACTTCACATGCTCTCTCATTCAGATTTACGAGATCAGAGCTAACACCTATCACAGCGCTTCCCCGCTCAACGGCGAGGCGGCTGAGCTTTGGGACAAAGAACCGGCTTTGTTCAAGACCAAGGTCATGGACCGTCACAGGGACATTGACGACGACTGAAGATGAAATGCAGGAGCAGTTTAGGAGAGCATTGGGTTAGGAGAAATTGGTTTATTCTCAAAGGTTGGAATCCCTGGCGTATTGGTCTCTGGAACAGGATTGCATTATCAGGGCGGGTTTGTTTAATGGGTATCCCGTTGTTGCTCGCGTCTGCTACCGGTTGCAGACTGGTTTTATGAAGTACATCAAGCATTGGCTGTAATGGACAGTATATCGTCCATAGAGCGTATCATTTTTCATGACGAAGCCCCTGCCTGACCATCTGCGACGCCCTCACACTGCGATTGTCTTCCCTCATCGTTGCTGGAGGCGGTTTGGTGGTATCGAAGGTGCCGTGTTCCATTTTACGAACCCTTTATTCGTAATGCGAAGCTAGATGCCATGCGAAAACTCCGGAAGCCCAATGCCGCCCTGAACCTGAACCGCGGTCCCTTCGTGCCAAAAATTCGTTTTGCCAGAACACCCAAATTTACTCCTCAACGACAACGGTGTGGAGACCCTTGGGGTTCTTCACGTTGACGGCCTGGACGTAGCTGTAGAGCTTCTCCTTGGCGCCCTCCTCGTCGTTACGGCGGCGCGAGATACGGACACGGAGACGGTAGGCAACGCCCTTGACACCCTGCTCCCAGACCTTCTTGTTGAGCTGGGGGTCGATGCGGACATCGGTGGTACCCTATAAATCACAGAGTCATGTCAGTCTTTGGTGTTCGTTCAAACTGACCACGCTGTGTCCCCAACTCCAACGTCGTCCCCATAGCTCCAGTTCCTCCAGATCGGGTTGGTGTTCGTCGCTGCACGTACCATCGCCTTGTAAGCGAACTCCTTGATCTCCTTGATGGCGCGAGGAGCCCTCTTCTTGAAGGTGACACCGTGCATCTGCGCCAGGGTCAATATTCCGTCTTCTTTCGTCGGGTCGTTTGTTCGGTACTGCTTACGCGCTTGTGCATGTGGATGGTGTACTCGCGGGCGACAACATCGGCGATGGCCGAGCGCTGGGTCTTACCGGTGGGCTTCTTGGACGACATTCTGAACAGCTTGTTAGCAAAGGAGGGGTTCCGCGAAGCAGGGCCGTGTCTCGAGAGCTGGCAGAACGGCTGACTCGAAATTGGACGGGCAAAAATGGGAGGGGCCGTAGTTACGTACTTTGGAGATGGCGGTGTCTCGTACACTCGGTGGTCGGGTGAGAGTCGTCGAAGTCGTTGGGTGCTGCGGCAAACGATAAACCTCCCAATGAATTTTGCACCGGATTTTTCCACGAAATCTGGAAAGTGCGGACCTGGGCTCAACTCGCCTCGCTTACCTTACCCTAAACGGAAGGACGGCTGGCAAAGTCGAGCCCCCACCACTTCTGCCATCTGTCGTCCAACTGACAGCTGGCACAGCACTACTCGTCCGTCCCCAGCTTTCAATTTCCGAGTGACCTCTGCAATCTCCCTGGTGCTCGCCAGGGAGACTGCTGTTGCACCTAGTGCACCTGGAGATCAACAACGAATTCATGCTGCCCTGTTTCCATGCTTCGTGATTGCCCTGTCGTCCTCGGGCTGTTAGTTTTGTCACCAGTGCCTGATGAGCCTGCGCCAAAAGACGGTGGACCTCGCAAAGCCTGTTCGTTCACCACATCCGGGGCCATTCCTACGTCCTAAGTAGTACTTACCTAAAGTCCCAACACCCCGTCCCTTCGTCAACTCCCGTCGTTCGTTCCATTCATTCCCGTCACTCGTTGCTCTGCACCCGACCCGACTTCCGTCGTCAACCACACCCAACTTTCCAACCCGTCATTCGTTACCTACCCAACAAACTGCCGACTTGCAGCCATCGCTGTCTCCAGACCATACCACTCTATCCGAGAGCGTTGCGCGCAAACCACATTCGTTTTTGACAATAAAAGACCATAATCGCCAAGAAATTAAAAAGCAAAGTCTCGATTGATTCAAACTCCTTTTCTCGTGCACCCGGCAACCGTGACTCGCGAAATTCTCGATTGACGTCAAACCTTTATCGCTCCCGAACCGCGCAATTGATCGAAATTCACACTTTTGCTCACTACTTACGACTTGCTCTCCTCGGACAACCTTCAGCCGATACAGCTTTCTTGCCCCGCTCTCCACCCCATTCTTCGCCGGCGCCCTTTCGCTCTCCGTCCCTCAGGTTATCATATCGCCCTCGTCCGCCGTCACATTTAGGTCGAGTTCCGGGTCCCGTTCACGTCTCGTCAAAATGACGGAGCCCATAGCACACACGCCCTCCCCTCAACCCGACCTTAATCGAAACCGACTTCCTACCCTGTTCGAGGTCCTCAGCAGGCGGACGCTTCCGCCCGTTGATCTGTTCTCTTTCTATATTTATATGAGAGACCAGCAGCGCTCTGTTGATTACCTCGATTTCTGGTTGGTTTTCCAACTCTCGGTGCTTTGTTGACAATGGCAGCTCCTAACCAGAGACAGGCTCGATGTCGCCCAACACATGTCACTATGCCGTCACTATGTTCGCGAATTGCGACGTTCCGTTCTCGTTGGTACGCCTGAGCCCGACCGAAGCTCCAAACGATCATCCGCCATTCTTGAGAGCATGGGTGATTTGAACCCTGTCGCAGGACCGTCAATGTGGGCGTCAGAGAAGGAGAAGGATCAAGATGCGCAAATGTCTGCCTTCCTGCGCGAGGATCGATCGATCACGCAGGAATCCCCGCAAAGCAGCACCGACCGCCGTGGTCGTCCGAGCAACCTGAGCAACCAGCGCGAACTCACTACCGACTCGAATTCCCCAGCGCATGCCGTAGCGCGCGACGATATCAGAGCCTCGGCCGAGAAGATTCTTTACACCTTTCTCCTTCCAGGCGCAGAACGCGAGATCACTCTTCCTGGTTCCATCACTTCGGATGTTACAACTGCTATCGAGGATTATGGACGCGATGACCCGGAGGTGTTTGACGTGGCTAAGGATTATGTGTTTCAGGCCATGGAGAGGGACGCGTTCCCCGGCTTCCTTAGGATGAAGGCCCTCGGAAACCTCATCCCCCCCACATTGATGCTGCGCCTCATGATTGGTCTTGTGGCTATGTTCGGTGGCTTCTGGACTGCCTTCACTTTGATCTTCCTGAACGAATCTCGCCAAACAAGGTGTTGGGTATGTCACCAGACCGGCCGCATCTCGTTGATATCTAGGTTATCTTACTAACAGTTTACCAGGTCATCCTGCCTTTCACCATTGGAGTTTACTGTCTGTGTTCATATCAGTACTCACTCGACCCCATTCTCGCACTTGTCGGACTCAGTGAATATACCCCTTTCAACTTCTCCCGAGTTCGGGAGCCATACGTCCGAAGACTCCTCGCTCAAAGATCTATGGTGGTTCTCGCCGTCACTGCCGTCGTAGACGCCGCGCTATGCGTCTTGTTCATTCTCGTACCGGGAAAACGACTATGATCTGGTACACACGAGATCACGCGGTAATGGGCGGTTTTCTTTTCGGCGTTTTGGTTTGCTTAATTTATTACCATAATACCCATGGGAGCTAGGACGGCACGGAAAATGGGACAATTGGCTTCCCCTGTTCTCGACAATGCCACGCCGTGTAATTTTTTCTTTGTACTGACGACGACTAGTTACCACTCTTAATCCAGGCGTGGATGTCGATAATCTGGTTTCAATTTTTTTTTCTATTCAACTGTCTTCTCAACCTACCAATTTTTTGTGTCAGTCTAAAGGAGGGCGGGGTCATACAAGGCCATATGTCTTGTCCACTACCACCACGATGGCGGAAGCTGACGCAGAGTGTCTCTTATTTCGTATTTTCCTCGAGACGGGAAAAAGTGATATTTCTACTTGGGGGCAAAAGCGGGTTTCTTGTTTGTTACCTCCACGAACGTTATGAGACAAATGAAGCTTGCTGTTTTCACATCAGTCAGACCAAACACTCTCCTACGAGAGTAGAGTAGGGCGAGGTGAAGGAACGAACGGACGGACGACGATGGACGGCGCAACCACTTCGGTTTGGTTTGGGCGTTATGGTCGGACGGGCTTCTTACTTTACCCCCGAGGCGAAGAAAGGCATACTAGTGATGGAAGAAAGGCTCGGATCTGATCACGAGGCGTGTAGTCACTGTCTGGCACCTTTTTTTCTCCGGATATCTGGTGAACCCAAAAGGTAACACCACTTGTGCGAGAGTGTGTTATTTGTTCATGTATCGGATTTCCAGACTAGATGAGGGGGTCCGTATTCTGGATAGATACACGATCTTGGGACAGGAAACAGCCGAACACACAGTCGGCCAATACCACACATCAAGTGTTGGTTTTGTTTCATTGTCACAGCCTTAATACCATTTTTACTACTATCACCACCACCGACCCCCTACACACAACTACTTCTACCCAGTGGCAGCTTGTTGGGACTTACTCCCCAACCAACCAGGCAGGTACAGTAGACAGACTATGAGCGACATCTTTTAGCTCAGCTCACTAAATACAATCCCTTTTTGTCCTTTTTTACTAGTTTTGTTGTTGGTGTTACACCTGTGCAATGAGTGGCTGATAGAGACGTGCTATTGGATGGGAGGCTGATTGAGTAAAAAAAGTGAGTAATGGTTGGTCCAACAGCAAAGAAGCTGTTGTGCTGTATCGATGATTTTGTTGAAGTGGGACAAATGGAAGATGAGAAGTCACACGAGCCTGTCGTGGTTGATATTATCCGTCGGGGCCCAGGTGAGAGAGAATCTAGGCCGCTAGTCTCATTTTATGTGAGTTTCGAATGGCCCTGCGTGCTTCTGAGGGCTATCGATACTTCCCATGCAGCTTGGTAGCCACCATGTAGAATTGCCACGCAGAGAACTTTTGGGAATAATCTTATGTACTCGCAGTCTTGAACATTCCAACATTTGATCGGTGAATATGATTTATGGAGACTGCTTTCTATTGTTTGGCCTCGAATATAAATCGTAATGATGCTATGTTTCTAGCTGCTCATTCCGTTCTCCGGCTATTGGCCGGATGAACTAATACCTGGTATTCTTTGAAGACCATCCATGACCTCAGACTTGCATGTCAATATAATTAAAACAACAACCGGCACCTGGTGCTCTGTGATTTGTCCTGATGTGCTTGGGAAATTTAGTCCTCTAGGCGGTCAACTTCCGCTTGCTGCCTCTCTTGGTTTCATCACCCTCGTCATCCAGATCCATCGTGTCATCATCGATATCCTCTTCCGAGTCATCCATATCGCTGCTTCCTCGCTTTCCAAGAGGCCCCGAGCCTGAGCCAGAGCCCGTCTCCATACCCCCCAGCGCCGCAAATGAGGCCGAGGAACCCATCAACCCCGCCGCTGGTGAGGGCGATACTGCTGATGGCCCCTCTCTAAAGCTGAGATAACTGCCACCACCACTCGTCAGCAAGCTGTTCGTTCCGCTCTGATTGCTTTGGTGATGGTGATGGTGGTTTTGCTGCTGACGTGATTGATTCTGGTGCTGCTGGTGGTTTCCTCTTTGAGATGACCGGTACCCCTGGGACAAGCCACCACCGCGAGAGTAGCCGCTACCACGAAAGCTACCACCTGCACCTGCACCGGGACCATCACCACCACCACCGCCGCGTGTGTTGTTGAACCAAGAGAAGGGCAAAGAGGACGAAGAAGAGGACGGTACCGCACCCTTCTGTTCATCTTCCAACAACTGCGACATCTTGTTGTTCCACTCTTGTTCCTCGGTCGCCCGCCTGTCCGCCTCATCCCGCAAGTTGGCCATCGTCGCTTCCAGCTCCTGCAGCGTCGCCTGGCACCGACCCGCCCAGCCCTGCAAGCTCGAGAGCAAGCCGCTCACGCCCCGCGCGGGAACGTCCCGCAAAGCAGCCACGCTGTTAATTTGTACCATCTCGTTCGCTGGGTCTAGCTGCCCTTCGATGAGACCGGCGTAGATCGCGCTGATCACCAGCTCTTCCAGGTCTCGCGCGCTGGAGAGCTCCAGACGGCGGGTCAGGGAGGCATAGCTTTGGTTTGGCGGTTGTGTCTGATTCTTTTCTCGCTGCATTGCGTCGTAATCGAGAGGGCCGTTGCTACCGTCATTGGCTACCAGTGTGAGGAGGGAGAGCTGGCGCAGCTTCAGCTTCTGATCGTCGTTAAGGGCAGGAAGCGCCGAGGCATTGGCAGTGTAGTCCGCGTAAGTTCCATGGCTGAAAATCTGTAGAAGCGTGAGGTAGGAGGAGAACTCGTGGGAGTATTCCAGGGACTGAATTTGAGGTGTCTGGAGAAGTTCGGTGAAGATGAAGGTGTTGGGGGCGGAGGTCGCGCGGGTCACGAGATCTGCCGCAGCGCGCGGGGAGGTGGCAGATTTAGAGAGCACGATGAACGGCTGGAAAAAGCAAACTGTGTGAGGTGAGACTACTCAATGTTGATGTGACCACCCTCAGGCGGGAGGGATGATGAACCAACCTCGAGGGCGTTGAGAGCTTTGGCTTGCTCCATTGCGAGTTGAGGCAGGCCGAGTCAGCGGTAGGTCGTGGTTCGAGAGACTGGATATTCGAGCTTCGGTACGCGATGTTGTATAAATGTGAAGCGGATACAACGATGGTGGTAAATGGGGATAATTCTGGCTTGGACTTAGCTACGGGGTACAGTCACGGCTTGGTGTAGCACGGCATCAGATATGGATGGCGTTGATTGACAGGTCAAGAATGATGTCCGACTGCAGCCTTTGGTGGAGTTAACCTGGGGTAGGTACACCCGCCATAAGGCTGAAAGCTCCAACGAGGGAGCGAACAAGTGTGGCTTGCGTTCCAGCGGGGTACCTCCATCGGCACCGAGCCAGCGCCAGGAGCACCTGCCTCCGGCTTTTCAATGTCCAAGCTCGCCAAGTACTAAGCGTAAAAAGCCATGGAACTGAAATCTATCTACACCAAAGGCACGACTTTCTGGGCAATTATGTATGGGTTTCATAATGCTCAATATGTAATCCCAATACAGCTTTGATGTTTAATGTGTACATAGTATGGTGTTTCTCGCAGCCGGAGGTATCCGTTAGCTTTCCCAGCTCTTGTACGTCTCTCTCTTTTCTTTTGGCCCTTGAGGCTGCTGTGCTGATGGAGCACTTTTGGCGCCAGATTGGCTGCGTCAAAGTCACGTTTTGAAACGACAAGGCGCCTGTTGGTGACCAGCATTTGTGAATCTAGGCGCAAGGGGTCCCCTGAAACATCGGGATGGCAACGCGTTTGAAGTGGAGAAATCTAGACAAAGAGATCAGGAGTAATCGCCGTGACGCCACGATATCTTTCATCTCATCTGAAGATGTGAACTGCCAGTTTTCAATCCACTTCTTCCTTTTCAAAATATAGTGTTGCACAGTATGCCCATGGTTCATACAGTCTGGCGATGAAGGCACTCCCGCTGATACCGAGACCCTTCCCATGTCGTGGTGTTGCTGAGGGCAGTACGTTCTTTGGTGCCATCCTATCGGTACCTCTATGATCGGGGAGTTCACATGGCAATTCCTGGAAGGTCCAATCGTTGAGAAGCCTTTATTGTTTGCGTTAGTAAGTTGTGAGATCGGTAAAATTCGCGGATTTCTAACAAGGAGGTGCAGGTCGTAGGTAGCACTGGGACATGAATACCGATTCGAGCAGCACCTCATGTGACGATTCGTCAATATTGATTGTTAGAAGTGTGAAGGAGAATCCCAAAAGATATAGCAGAATGCGGCATGGAAATTGAGTTTGTGACTCTACTCAGCCCTTTCGACCATCAAGCGAGGCCATAAGCTCGCTGGATTTCTCAGCCCCTCTTGCCCGTGTAATACACCGCTCACACCTGTTTCGGTCAAGCTGAGCAAGCAAGCCACATCACGGGAAGCATGACTCGAGATCAGGATTATGTGTCGTAGTAAGTAATCTCAGCAAGGTAAGCAGCCATGATCACTAATCGGGCAAAGGTCAGAAGTGCAGGCCGAGACTCAATAGCAATCCAACATATAGACTATGTACATGGGTACATATGTCCTGGCTCCTGCGTAGGTGCAATACTATCTTGCATGATGCCGTATGATACCTTTTCGGACAAGATTATACGAGATTGCTGGGATGTTTGTCCGTGTTGGTTCAATGTATGATAGACGCCTGTCTGGCGCAATACCACGAGAAACCTGAGGAACCGCACATAGCGCAGACTCCGGCTTTGTGTGATGTGTACCGGTTGTTGACGATAACTCGGGGTCCCAGGGGCACTGAACGGCAGTAGGTCTCGGTCACTCGGATCTCGCCCCACCCCACTTTGTGAATTGCCCTGAAGGCTCCCGCTCAGATCCCGTTTCACGCCATGGGTAGGAGAAAGTGTCAGTGGTGCGAGACCCCTGTGTGCATTCTCAAGGTACCGTAGAAGTACGCTGTGAGTGGCTGACAAACCTTCAGTCGATGGAGGAAACTTCTCAACCCCTTCCCGCTCATGTTTCCAAAGTTCCTTTCTCAAGCCCCATCCCCCCTCCCCGGTTGCGTCCCTCCTCCACTCTCCCGGGTTCCTCGTCAAAGTTGCCAGCTCCCTGCTACAGGTTTGGCGCCATTTGGTCTCATGTAACGGTACCGAGAGCTCCGCTATGCCTTCGATATTAACACCCGTCCTTATTCGTACTCATTCCTCTACTACATATTAACTGGATCGACTTCGCCAACACCATCGCTGGAAGCTGGCGCCTACTTTACCCTTTTAACTCTTTTGCGCAAAAGCGGTGGTCCCGGGTCGTCTCCCATATGAGCCGCCCTCCGAACACAGCGTGCTTTTCTCCTATGTTTTAGCCTAGGGGCTCTTGTTTCGGAATCACCGCGCTTCGAAATCTCGCTTTCCGCGTGTCATTTGCGCTGCAGCGTATTTGATAAAACATCTGGCCTCGTTGTACGAGCTCTTGCGGAACCAGCAAGATGGCACCAGCAAATATACAAGTCCCGTCTGGGCATATGGCTACCACAACCCTCAAGGTTGAGGGCATGACGTGAGTTGCATAATACTTGACTTTGTCTCGGCTTCCTCGGAGGTGTGGAGAAGACATGGTGACTGACTTCGCGCAGATGCGGCGCCTGCACTTCGGCCGTGGAAGCTGGCTTCAAGGGCGTCAACGGAGTTGGTAGCGTATCGGTCAGCCTGGTAATGGAACGCGCCGTGGTCATGCACGACCCCGACCAGATAACGGCGGACAAAATTAAAGAAATCATCGAAGACCGAGGGTTCGACGCCGAGGTGCTGGCCACCGACCTCCCGACGCCTATGATCGCCAGGCACCCCGAACAAGACCTGGAAGCTTCCGATGACTCCCCATTAATGATCACTACTGTCGCAATCGAGGGCATGACATGCGGCGCTTGCACATCAGCGGTCGAAAACGCATTCAAGGACGTATCCGGCGTACGACATTTTAGCATTTCCCTACTCTCCGAGAGAGCTGTTATCGAGCATGACCCGACACTGTTGAGTGCCGATAGCATCTGCGAAGCCATTGAGGACCGCGGATTTGGGGCGACTGTTGTTGAGAGTGTCCATAAGCAGCCCGAGAGAGAATCTGTTCCCGGCGCGGCGACATCCTCCCAACCGTCAAATGCGACCACGACAGTAGCTATCGAGGGTATGACTTGCGGCGCCTGCACTTCAGCTGTGGAACAAGGATTCAAGGATGTGAACGGGGTTCTGAAATTCAACATCAGCCTTCTCGCTGAGCGAGCGGTTATTTTGCACGATCCAACGTTATTGCCGGCTGACAAGATCGTCGAGATCATCGAAGACCGTGGGTTTGGTGCCAAGATTCTAACAAGTACATTTGACCAGCCCAGTCATTCTTCTGGTACTTCGACAGCACAATTCAAGATCTATGGAAATCTTGACGCTGCCGCGGCCAACAAGCTAGAAGATGCGGTTCTTGCGCTGCCCGGAGTCGCCAGTGCCAAACTGGCCATTGCGACATCCAGGCTGACTGTCACCCATTTACCTAATGTTACAGGACTTCGAGCTATTGTCGAGACCGTCGAGGGCGCTGGTTTCAATGCCCTTGTGGCAGACAATGACGACAACAATGCCCAGCTGGAGTCGCTCGCCAAGACGCGAGAAATCAACGAATGGAAGCAGGCGTTCAGAATCTCGGCTGCTTTCGCTATCCCGGTCTTCTTTATCAGCATGATCTTCCCCATGTTCCTGAAGTTCCTTGACTTTGGCAAGGTCAGACTAATTCCAGGTCTCTACCTTGGAGATGTGGTCTGCTTAGTTCTCACGATACCGGTTCAGTTTGGCATCGGAAAGCGCTTCTATGTTTCGGCATGGAAGTCAATAAAACATAAATCGCCGACTATGGATGTCCTTGTTGTTCTCGGCACCTCGTGTGCTTTCTTCTTCAGCATTGTCGCCATGGCCGTCTCGATATTATTTCCTCCGCACACCCGGCCGAGCACCATCTTCGATACAAGTACCATGCTGATCACCTTCATCACCTTTGGCCGTTTCCTCGAGAACCGGGCCAAGGGTCAGACATCCAAGGCACTCTCACGCCTCATGTCCTTGGCTCCATCGATGGCTACCATTTATGCAGACCCCATCGCGGCGCAAAAGGCTGCCGAAGGTTGGGATCGCAACGCAGACTCTCAAGAGCCGCGTGAAGGCAATGCAGCGGACGAGAAGGTCATTCCTACAGAGCTTATCCAGGTCGGCGACATCGTTCTCGTTCGTCCTGGTGATAAGATTCCCGCAGATGGTGTTATTGTTATGGGTGAGACATATGTCGACGAAAGTATGGTTACTGGAGAAGCCATGCCCGTTCAGAAGAAAAAGGGAAGCCTATTGATCGGTGGCACTGTCAACGGCGCGGGGCGAGTTGACTTTCGTGTCACTCGTGCAGGCCGGGACACCCAGCTCAGCCAGATTGTCAAGCTGGTACAAGACGCCCAGACAACTCGTGCTCCCATTCAACGCCTGGCGGACACTCTGGCTGGCTACTTCGTCCCAATGATTCTGTTCCTTGGTATGATGACATTTTTCACTTGGATGATCCTGAGCCATGTCCTGTCCACTCCCCCGAAGATCTTCTTGGAGGACGCAAGTGGTGGCAAGATCATGGTGTGCATCAAACTTTGCATTTCCGTCATTGTATTCGCTTGTCCTTGTGCTCTCGGCCTCGCAACGCCTACTGCCGTCATGGTAGGCACAGGTGTTGGTGCGGAAAACGGCATTCTGGTCAAGGGTGGTGCTGCTCTCGAGACCATTACCAAGATCACTCAAGTGGTTCTCGACAAGACTGGCACCATCACGTATGGAAAGATGAGCGTCGCCAAAACCAACATTGTTCCCGTATGGCTGGATAATGACTGGCGCCGTCGTCTATGGTGGACTCTCGTGGGCCTCGCTGAAATGGGCAGTGAACACCCCGTCGGCAAAGCGGTCCTCAACGCAGCCAAAACAGAGCTTGGTCTCGAGGCGGAAGAAACAATCGATGGTACCATTGGCAACTTCACTGTAGCCGTGGGTCAGGGCATTACCGCAGAGGTTGAGCCAGCTACTTCCCTGGAGAGGACGCGTTACCGTGTACACGTGGGCAACATCCGTTTCCTCCGGGACAACGACATCGAGATCCCAGAATCCGCAATCAACGCCGCCGAAGAAATCAACGAAGCCGCCGCCAGCTCTCGCTACAAGTCCACCCCCTCCAACACTCCAGCCGGCACCACCAACATCTTCATTGGTATCGACGGTAAATACGCCGGCCACCTCTGTCTTTCTGACACCATCAAAGACGGTGCCGCCGCCGCCATCGCCGTTCTCCACCGCATGGGCGTAAAAACTGCCATTGTCACCGGCGACCAACGCAGCACCGCTGTCGCCGTCGCCTCCGCCGTCGGGATCGACCCGGAGGACGTCTACGCCAGCGCCTCGCCCGATCAGAAACAAGCCATCATCCAACAACTCCAGTCGCGCGGCGCCGTCGTCGCCATGGTCGGCGACGGCATCAACGACTCTCCAGCCCTCGCCACCGCAGACGTCGGCATCGCCATGAGTTCCGGGACAGACGTAGCCATGGAGGCTGCCGACGTGGTGCTCATGCGGCCCAACGACCTGATGGACATCCCTGCCGCGCTGCACCTCGCCCGCACCATCTTCCGACGCATCAAGATGAACCTGGCGTGGGCATGCATGTATAACCTGATTGGCCTGCCATTTGCCATGGGCATCTTTTTGCCGTTTGGGTACCACCTGCATCCCATGGGCGCGGGCGCCGCCATGGCGGCTAGCAGTGTTAGTGTTGTGGTCAGCAGCTTGTTCCTCAAGTTCTGGGCCAGGCCGAAGTGGATGGATAAGACGCTTTATGAGTTTGAGATGGACACGATTGGTGGTGGTCCTATTAAGGGGCGCATGAGGAAGCGCGGTGCCGGATGGGGATTGTTTGGTGGGGTTGTTAGCAAGGTCCGAGATATTCTGGGTGTCGGTGCGGCGAGGAGGAATAAGGATGATGGGTATGTCCCGCTTGATAATCTTGATGCGGCTGAGCATGCTGTGTAGGGCGTTTAGGGTGTTTCCATAGCTGAGAGAGAACGAAGGAGAAAGAGAAAGAGAGAGAAAGGCCTACAAAGAAAAGAGTATGGAAATAAGGAACAGTCGGCTCCTACGTACATACGGACACGAAACAGAACATGGGAAGTAACGGGGCAAGTAGCAGTAAGAGCATGATATCCGGAGTTTTTTTTTGGTTTTTTTTTCTTGAATGGAGGGTCGATTTGCCAGCTTTTTCGTGTTATGAACGGATTCTCTTTGGGTATACTAGTAGGCAGCCAGAGAACAGAGAGCAGTTGAATGCGTTTTTGGTCATTCTCACTTCTATCCAGTCTTAAACATCCAGTGAGTACTGAGTAGTTTATACGTGCTGACTTATCCTGCTCAAAAGTAATTATGTGTTCTCGGTATGCTGCCGCACTTCAGTAAAAACAGTTGAACGGGTTGAGATCACCAGTTTGGTGTTCCTCCTTGGTCGCTTCTGTAGTCGCTACATTCGCGACGTCTACTTTCTCTAGATGTTCAGAATTGATTTCCAGTCGGTGTCTGCCGTCTGAAAACTTCGAGACAAGTGAGTACGAAGGAATTACGCCTTTTCATATGTACAGAGATCTTGATGCGTTTATTTCGCCTAATTTTGACATACGGATGAAACTTCCATGAAGCAGGTACAATAACAGAGTTGGAAAAGCACACATATCGAGTACGAAACGTTGGTTCACCTGAAGCATATGAAGAGTTGATGATGAGCGAGCAGGCCAGAAAACAATAGACGCCGAGCGGTTCTAACGAAAAAGAAGAAAAAAACAAGAAAAAAAGGGAATAAAGGTAAGTTAAGTGGCAGCTTGGTATTCATAAGACTCCTCCCCCATCCATCATCACACTCATATCTTGCCAGTATTTCCCCCCTCTCCGCAACCGTATCCGTACCCCCCTTAGCATAAAACGTACGCAAATATAGGGAAAGCAGCAGGCGAAGTCTCCTTGCGATGTATCAAACTGTACAAGATCCCGAATCAAGCGTGTTCCTGACTTTCCGAAAAAGTGATCACAAGTGCAAAACGAGTGCTGGCTATCCCCTTTTAACCGCCTCGCGGATTATTGTGAGACGGTCGTCAACCACTGGTTACCATGTTTGGTGAGTTCGTTCGGTTGCTAAAGGGCGTGTATTGCGGAATTAACCGAGCGTGGATATTGGACCCGGGCAGAGTAAGGGCATTGTCATTAAGTGTAGCCAGCACTTTAAGGGCTCTTCTTCTTCAACTCAGTCGACAGCCAGTCGAGACCTTCGAACAGACCATCACCGGTGGTAGCGCAAGTGGCTTGGATGTACTACATGAAGGAAAAATAAGTGTTAGGGCACAAAGGCATGCATCATGTGAGACAAGGGAAATTCAAAACATACCCAAGAGCGTTGCCTCAAGCTGGAAAGGCCGAGCTTATCCGTGATCTCGGCAGCGTTCATGGCATTCTAAAAGACGCAATGTTAGCTGACTGTTGCTGCTGCTGCTGTTGCTGCTGAACATGGCAGGTATCGGGTAGATAGAGGTAGCGCTTACAGGAAGATCCTGCTTGTTGGCGAAGACGAGCAGGAGGGCGTCGCGGAGCTCATCCTCGTTGAGCATGCGCTGGAGTTCTTCGCGGGCCTCGACAACACGGTCGCGATCGTTGCTGTCGACTACGAAAATGATACCCTGGGTGTTCTGGAAGTAATGTCTCCACAGAGGCCTGATCTTGTCCTGACCACCGACATCCCAGACGGTGAACTGAATGTTCTTGTACTCGACGGTTTCGACGTTGAAGCCTGGGCAAAGATGTCAGTGAGCGTGTTCGCGCGAGGAGTGGGTCTGTGTCATCAATGTGCACTAAAGGGGGAGCATGGCGAGTGGCGTACCGATAGTCGGGATGGTCGTGACGACCTCACCGAGCTTGAGCTTGTAGAGAATGGTGGTCTTTCCGGCAGCGTCGAGACCGACCATGAGAATTCTCATCTCCTTCTTGCCGAAGAGCCCATCGAAGAGCTTTCCGAATATCGAGAGCGTGTTGCCCATCTTGGCGGTTGTGTATTAGGCGACGCTAAAGTTGCAAGTGTAGAAAATTATCTGTTTCGGCGGCAAAGCGTAAGCAAATGGATCGTTGGTGTGGCCGAGATGGACTGTTGAATGCTCGTCGGGGTGGTGGTGTTGAGAGGAAGTGTGCGATTAATGACAATGGGGACGGCGGGTGGGCATTTAATGACGACGGCCCGCGTGAGGACAGATAAGTGGTGTCCGGCCATTCGCTATCCTCAGGCACACAACAGCATGCCACGGACAAGGTAAACCCGCAGGGCTGCGACGGGTGACGAACTGGTTGGCGTCGTTTGGCCACTCGACGTCCTTCACCAGCCAGAAGGCACGCGTTCGAGTGCGAAGGTAGAGGCAGGCAGACATGGAATGGGAAAGCTGTGGCAGGCAGCGCTGATGGGAACCACGGAGGTGCCTTGCAACGGCGTGATTGATTCGCTTGACTGCCAGGGGGCCAGAGAAGGGGATCGTGACATGCGACAACAATGATGGGGTACTTACTATGGGAGGCTTGTCCTCAAGTAATGGGGACGGCGATGTTTGGGATGCGCGTCACCGGTGGCAGCAGAAATATGGTGTTGAATGTGGATGGTGGTAGGATTGATGGCGGTGTGTGGTGGAAGGAAGGCAAGCGGGCGAGAATGTGTCTCCGGCCGTCAGGTCTCTGCCACGGATTTTGAAAGTTGTTCTTGGGCAGGGCGACCGTTCCGACACCAAGTAGCCTGCCCGCCCGCTCTCACCCACCCACCCACGGGTCGCCCACCTGGCATGGCCGCCTGGTTGCCCCCGGCGGATTTCCAAAGAACAGCCAGAGGGGACGACTGCTGGCTCGGTTGGGGTGGGTTCGAGGGGCCACTCCTCAGACTCCTTGGCTCTTGCATCCCCGCCATCAGAGCGTGCACGGTCCACCAGATGCCCTCTACTCAAGAGCTACCACTACACTACCTTATCTGGCCAGCCCCTTTTCGCCTGCATCAACATCAACTCGGCTGAGCAGCACGCAGGAGCAACGAGGTACCTTGCTGGTACCCCTCCATCCCTCCTGGAAGATTACCTACCTTGTAGTGTCAAGTAGGGAAGAACATTGGACCGAATCCCTTGATATTTTCACAATCGCTCGTCATTCGACACGGCACCCTTCAAGTTCTTCTCGGCCTATCCAGTCCTTTGTGCTTCCAAGATGCCATTTGGCATTGTTGATAGCCTCGAGCTTCACAAGCCAGTCATCCCCCTGGGGAGTCCTGGACCCCGGTACCCCGGCAACTCTGATAGGCCAGAGTCTCAGTTCATGCTGGGACACGCCAAGGCCAAACACCCGGACCTGGGTGCTCGCGGTAGCAGCGACAAGGAAAGGGGCCCCGGGCTGGGTGTACCTAGGTACTTTGCATGCTGCTGGCGGGACCCGACCTTGCGCCGCGCTAGGTACCACTCTGCTGCCCTGCCAGAATTGTGAGAGGTAGGGGTAATTGTGAATCGCCAAGTTGTCCTCCCAAAACCGTCTCGCGAAACGAAAACGGAAGCTTTCTTTGCTTCGTTGAATCCTCTTCAAACTCCACATTCGCCCATCGCCATCCCCGGGACATTCGTAAATCGATCGCAATGCAATTCCTCACAGCAGCTAAGCTGCTGCTCTCGGCCAGCTTGTTCGGCGCCGCCGCCGCTCACAACATCGTCCTTCCCGCCCACGGCCGCGAATGCTTCCACGAGAACCTCCATCGCGATGACAAGATGACGGTGACCTTCCAGGTCGGCGACCGCGAGTTTGGCAGCGCCGGTAACCTCGACATCGATTTCTGGGTGCGTCGTCCCCCTTCGTATCACCTTTCCCCACGTAGCCCGACCGCCAATCTACTGTTCATCATCATCGATCTTCGATTTTTAGACCAGACACCGAGCAAGAACCAAGAAAGAAGCCTGCAACAGAGAAGCTAACAAGGGCCGATGCATAGATCACCAACCCCCTAAACCAATACGAGACCTTTGAAAAGTCCATATCCAACGGCGATTTCTCGTTCGAGGCCAAGCACGACGGCAAGTATGTGTATTGCTTCGGCAACGAGCACTGGGGCGCCAACACCAAGGAGGTTTCGTTCAATGTGCACGGCATCGTGTACATTTCCGAAGCGGACGCGCCCCAGGACCCACTCGAGGTTGAGGTGCGCAAGCTGTCGGAGATGTTGGAGATGGTTAAGGACGAGCAGAGCTACATTGTCGTGCGCGAGCGCACCCACCGTAACACGGCCGAGAGCACCAACGCCCGCGTCAAGTGGTGGAACCTGTTTATCGTCGGCGTCGTGGTGGGCGAGTCCCTGTTCCAAGTCTGGTGGTTGAAAAGGTTCTTTGAGGTATGTTGACAACTCCTTCAAAGACTCTGGCAGGAAAGGAGAGGAAGAAGAAGGCTAGGAGACACGGCTAGGACTGAAGAGCTAACCCCTGAACTCCTGATCTAGGTCAAGCGGGTTATCTGAACTGGACCCCGATACTGCCTCCCCATCGGATGGAATACTCCCCCCCCTTCATCAATAACAACAACAATTTCATAATACTTAAGCCGCTTTATTCCACAAGTTGCTTTGGGAACCATTCATATTTGGGCGCTTGGAATGGGTCAGCCGGATGGGGATACGAAAACAAATGATATGATAATGGAACTGCCTACTACATGACGACGAAAATCTAGCGTGTCTCACGCATGTGAACTATGTCTTCAAGATGTCCCGGAGAAAGATATCTTGCATTCCTCGATTCTATGTCTAACCTTACTGCATGATGCATTGCTATCTAGGTCATATTCACCAACGCCACCCCCAACCTGTTCAAAGCTTCTCCAAACTCAAGACACTTGAGGCCAAAGCAGAGATATCACTAGACATATCGCCCAAACGCCGCTCAACAAAATAAACAAGCAAAACATTCAAGCAGACGGATCCGACTCTGGGATCGTGACCTTGGCCTCCTCCGCCTCCTGCTCAACCGGCAACACAACGTCCTTAACCGGATGCAACAGCATAGGCGGCAGACACATCCTCCCCTCGCCGCCGCGCATCGTCGACACCGTCTGGTCATCCGCGCTATTATCCGGCCTCAGCTCGAACTGCTCCCCACCATCATTATTGATCTTGAGCCCCAACCACCGCTTATACAGATTAGCTGAGAACCCGGCATTATAAAACCATGTCAGGCCCCTCATGTTATGCTCACGGTTACCAAACACGGACGTCCTCGACCCGCCCGAGGCCCCGTTGCGCCCGCCGTTGAGGATGTGCGCCATGTACTCGGTTGGCCACTCGCGGTCGACGAACAGTGGGTGAGGGGCAAAGACAGCCTTGTAGCCGTGGTGGAGCGCGACCGTGGCCGGCCACATCTCCGGGAAGGCATGGTGCTTCTTGAAGGCCGTCTCGCGGTGCATGGTAAGCAGCAGGCGGCGGGACATGCGGCTCGCAGTGATGATCTGGGCGCGCCGTGGCGGCTTGCCAATGTTGCTTGTTTCGTTGTAGCCCGTGATGTCGTCGGCCAGCTCCCAAGTGGTGCCCTCCGGGTTGAAGATGGGGTTGAGCGTGATCAAGTCGGCTTCCTCGCCAACGCCCCAGGCGTACTTGTCGCGCTCGTAGCTGGTGGGCGGGACGGGATCCCGGTCGTGCTCGAACCAGTCCTTCTCGTCCTTGGGCCGCTCCGGACCCCAGACGCTCTTCTCGCCCTTGGTTTTCACTTGGTTGGGCGATTCTTGTTTGTCCTTGTTACCGCCCTTCTTGATGGCGTTGTCCCAGATGTTGTCGGCGCCGACGATGCCGTGCTCGGTTTGCACACGCGCCATCTGCTTGAAGTCGTCCCAGGTACCGTGCACGTACGGCATGTAGAACCGCGCGTTGCGTTCCCACAAGCCCTTGCGCGGCTGCTCTTTGGCCCAGGCCTCCAGCTTGGATAGCAGGTCGTAGTAATGGCCGGTGTAGCGGATGTCCATTTCCCATTGCCAAAAGTGTTCATACTCGGGGTGCTTATAGGCAAAGTACTGCATAGCCATCTGCAAGCCACGATAGGAACCATGGACAGGCAGTTCAGGGCCCTTGGTCCAAAGGTCGCGGACACCCTGATAGATGGCGAGCATTTGGGTTTCAGACCACAAAGTTACCATACCACGGAATTCTGCGGGGATGGTGTCGTTGATACGTTTTTGGTAGGCCTCGTCGTCGGCCCAGACGGGATTCCTTCCGTCATTGCGTACCTGTACCAAGAGATGTACATCGTAGCGACCGCCAGAAGCGAGAGATAGTTCGGCCACAAGGGCGCGAAGATTGAGAATCTTCTCGGCGTTCCAGTCGATCTCGTCCCAGGCTCTGATAACAAGAGCGGACCGGGGAACATCGCCCTTTGGCTTGGGTACTTCAGGTGTGGCGGACCCGTTTTCTTTCTCTCCGGCAGGCTTCGCAGTAGCCGTAATCTCGGAAGATTGGACGTCCGCTCTGGTCTTCAGTTTTGATTTTCCGTCTTGCTCCTGGATATAGAAGCCTTGAAGAGGGTTCTTATGTGCTGCAACTGGCTTGTAACGGCCTTCATTGGCTTTAAAGCACCGCCGTTGAGCTTCAGCCCAGTCGATGTTGCTGCTCCAATCCACCTGTTTGGTCGATTTCCAGACCTCATCAGCTCCAACTCGGTCGCCGTGCTCGCCAACCCCAAGGCCTCCTGTCTTGACCGAGTAGCCATAGCCATACGGGCCATATCTGCCGAATCGGTCGAAACAGATGTCTTCGGGAAGAGAAAGAAGCTCGTAGGAGCCGACAACATTATCCGGAAATCCACTGGGGCGGCCATCGTAGTATTGGATTGGGGGAACCCGTATCAATTTCTGTTCGTCGAGGAAACACTCCTGGAACCCTTGACGGCTGTTTGGAACAACCGAACCCGGATGGTCCATGAATGACTTGCTTGGTGGTATGGTCTTGGTTGCCGCTGATGAGCCTTCTGCAGTATCTCTCTTGCCAGACTTGTCCCCTTCCTCCTGTGCGGAGGGCGCACTTGCATTGTAGGGAGCTTCATCTTCAAACCTGGGATATTGGGGCACATTTTCCTCAACAGGTACCAATGTCTTGAGTCCGCCATAGTATCGGGTAAGAAACTTGAAGTTTTCCCACGGCGGAGGAGGTGGTGGCTTTTTCTCGACCTTCCCTTCAGCTATCCTTCTGTTTTCCATCTGACTTGCTCGCACGAGACCGAAGATGAAGACGACAATGGTCGTGATCAAGGCGATACACAACACTCGTATAACCTTGTTTGGTAGTCTGTAGAGATGTCTTCGAGGGGAGCGGCGCTGGGAGGTGGGTGACAGCCTTTGCGCCATCAGGACGGAGTTCGAGGAAGCTGAGGAGGAGGCATGTCGAGACCGTCGAGGTTCAGGTCTGGATCGTGAAAAGTCATCGGAGGAATCACCGGAGGAGTAATCGTCCGAAGAACCATCGACATCGGAGTAACGTTCCTTCGTAGGGGATGATGAGCTTGTAGGGTTCAGCTGCTTGTGCATGGGCAACTTGGGACGTTTCGCATCGCGCGACCGCAGTGGGTTGAGGTTACTTAGCCCCATGGTGGAAATGGGAACTGGGATACTACATAGGATAGATAACAGTGTCAGGCTCAGGGCTTCCGAGACGGAAAGCAAACCATAGCTCGATGAGATGTTTCCTCACAGTTAACACCGTCTGTCGCAAACCGGAGAGGCGTACATATGCCTGGCTCGATCGCGAAACCTTGAAGAATATATAAGAAGCTCTGCGAGTCGGCTAAGGAATGCGCCTAGGGTGGGACCAGCAGACGCCGGGTCCTGTCGCGTTGGATGTCGTGTACTGGATTCTGGATTATCGCTAACTGACAACCCCGAATAAAAATAGCTTGTACAAGTAAATACACGCTTTTGGAAATGTTGAACTGATCATAAAAAATCGCGTTCCTCTTCCGAAAGGTGCATCCAGCGACGGAGAGTTCTAGGAGGCTGGTCCTGCATCCCGGTTAACCTTGGCGTTTTCGTGCGGAGACCCCGCATTGATTGGCTGTGGAGGCTGCAGTGTGTTGACGCGGGCGAAGACATCGATGCGTCCGTTGCCGTTGAGCAACGCGTTTTTACTTGTAGAACGGAGGTATGATACGCGAATCGAATCGCACCTAAACCACCAGCATCTGATCTTGGGAGGTTGGTCTCGAGTTCCACGACCTCGACGGCTCAGCCGATCAGAAGGAAGAGGACAAGGAGTCTCTAGCCATGACAGAATGTTGTCCCTATCCCGCAGTGTTGATAGGGTGTGTTTCTTCTAGGCGTTCTTTGTCATATCGACTGGGTGTTGACATGTACGCCAGATATTTGACGGTTCGTGCTGCTATTGGTGAGTGTGAGACCATTGTCTGAAGCTGTGAAGAGAGAATGAAGGTTCGACGACTTCAGGGTCGTGAGGGTGTCACCTGAAGTAGGGTAGAAGCAGTGCCGTCCAATCGCAGTCACCTAGCGAATCCATGTTGTCCACGAGCTGGGTCCACGGATGACGTCGACTCATGGAGAATGATAACCTAACGACGACGACTTGTTTCAGCCTTCGGACGACGACGACATTCGCATTCCTCACACTATCGATGCTGATTCGGATATTGAATCTAATGTCTGCTTCGTGATGGTGTGCTTGGCATACCCAGGCCTGATTGATTCCTGCAAAGTCATAGATGAGGTTCGAGGAGAAGCCAAGGACGAAGGAACAGTCCTGCTGACCACTCCCACCTCAACTTCAGGTTAGGGAGAGTCGGGCCTCAGTCTGAAATGCGGAGGTTCATCATTATGAAGTTTAGTCTGAAACGCTGCCACGCTACCTCTACGCGGGATAGACGGTTAGGAATGTTCCACCGTAAGGTAGCCATGAGACATTCCATGCCACTGGGTTGAGGCAGCCGTTTGAGGTCCGGTCTTCCAGAGCATATACATATACAGAACATTGAAACTAATTGCGTGAGCCGTGGTTTCTATACCAAACACCGACCAGCCCTCCCTCCCATTGGCACCCCGCAGACGTCATTTCCTCGAGATTACTAGCAAACGAGGGTTTTCCTCAGTCATACCGTTGGCCGTCAAGAGGTATATCACTTGTCCGCTCTCTCTAACCCGAACCACTCGGTTCGACGACATGTTTGAGTACTCTCTTTGAGGCAATCTGGTTTTGGACATGCCATCCTCAATCAAAGTGCTTAACGGCCTCTTTTGTCTGATACCATATTCCCGACACTCTGTCACTCGAGGTAGCGGGAAGTATGAACAAATTATACAAAAATAAAATTCCAGATACAGTTCAGACGACATCGTACCCAGCCTTAAACGGGCAGATACATCATTAACCGATATTATGATGTAGGTGGGGGCGCCTTACCCGAACCAGCCAGTCTGGTATGTAAGTCCGAACGTCGAAAGGTCCTCTCTACGATGTGACAAGCAACAGCAGATTTGAGGAAGAGCGGATGCCGCCAGCTTGTTATCTACGCCTATTGGTAGGACATTGCACATCAGAGGTACAATATAACTAGTCGTGCAATCTATATCATCCTTGGTCCGGGTGGGGTTACATGGTTGTGATGGTGACTTTGCACCTTCATTTTTCCTTCACAAAGGTAGGATACGGTATGCCTTGACATGCAGTGCTGTCAGTGGGATCTTTCGTCGTCTTGTCTTTCTTCTTTGTTCAATACAACATTGTGCACGTTCGACTGTCTGTTATTATTGCTATTAGGCATCCGGCACGTGCTCGCTGATATCTCATCTCACAACGGCTGCTAGCCATCGCATCGAGTCTCACTTCAAGTCTGTCGGAGCTGTGATATAAGACTTCTCTCTGGTTGGGCATCATCATCAGCACCACCACTACCCGCCGCATAACAGGCTGCGCAAAGGACTTGCATCCCGACTGCACGTCTTTTCATGTAACGAAGAAACGCATCACACCCGTCTGTGCACCTGTAGGTACAGTACAGCCTTCGCTTGATCACTCGCATTCCCTTCGTCATACAAAAAGCTGCTGTCGCCCAGCCAAACTCAGCATTTCTCAACCATTGTTGCTGAGACCACCAACAAGTTGTGTTCGATAACGAACGTCCAGGAGGACGATCAAAGCCCTTTGGTCTTTGGACCTCTCAAACACATCTTCCACCTTTACTGAACTCCCACCAAGAACAGCGACGACGACCTCAGTCGCCAACCGCCACTCCTAAAATGTCTCTCACAGTAACCTCCGAAACTCCAAAGATGCCTTCTGCCTTCTCCCAACCAACCTCCTCATCCTCCTCCGACGAGCCCGTGACAGCGACCTCCTCTCAAGTTAACATGGTAATCCGGCAAGACCCCTTCTACATAACCCTCGACGCCTCCGCCCTCCTCGCCGTTTCCATCCTGACCGTCCTGGGGATGCACTTTGTGCACCGCGCTTTGCTCGAAGCCACCATCATCTCCGTGCCCATCATGCTGCTCATCCACAACGACTATCTCAACTTTCTCAAGCTCGGCCCCGGCGGGACACCCCCGACCCCATCGGGCTACGCCCGGCTGACTTTTTATCGCTTGTTCACCATCCGCGACCCGTTGCAGGCGCCGGAGAGGGATCCGAGCCAGCTTCCCTCTGCGGGTATCCTGGCCATCAATAATAACCATCATCATAATAATGATCCCACCGGGCACAACGACAACGACAAGGCAGCAGCCTCCTCCGGTGGTCTCCCCTACCGCCCCGGCCCCCGCCCCTCCGTCGCCGGCCTCGCCCCGCAAAGACAACTCAACCAGGCCGGCCCCCTCCCCATCTACAACGCGCTGCGCAGCTCGCTCGAGTCTCTTGCGCACCGATACCCTAATCGATTCGTCACCGCCACGTCTTGCCTAGAAAAACACGGGTTCGCTTTGTTCTCGCGCCACCCCGTAAACGTCTGTGGAAACGGGGAGATCTGCCATATCCATACGCATTCGGACAGGAGCATGCACACGAATCTGCATCCGGATGATATCAAGGAGGTGTTGGAGAAGGGGTGGGGGGAGAGACATCCTATGGCTTGGTCGACGAGGGGTCATCGTCGTGGTGGTGGTGGTGGTACTTCTTCTGGTGGAAAAGGGGGGGAAAAGGGGGAATCTTCTTGGTGGTGGTGGTGGTGGTGGTGGCCGGTGAAGAGTCCAGTGCCGGAGACTTTTACTATGGTTTATGCGCCTAGAGGTGAGTACTAGTAATTCCTATGATCTTGTTTGTGTGGCCCAACAGAGATGAGATTGAGGTGGATGGGCTGACAAGACTGTGTGGCGTGAACAGATGAAAACGACCTACGAATTGTTTGCAAGATCATCGAGGCGGCGATTTGGTATACCGCTTGCGAGAAGGTTGAGATCATGCCAGAGTCTGTCAAGGCTTCAAATTGAGGGGGGAGCTTGAGGATGGTGTTGGTGAGTCGAGAGTTGGACCAAAGAGAAAAAAACATGTTAACTGAGGAGGGTGCGAGATCACTGTATCCGCGATACAGACGGGACCGATCGGGTAACAAAATACTTGGATTGTACCGAAGGGCGAGGTTCGTAACGAAGCTATTGCACAATGGTTAAGCGCATGGTGTTCAGGCGTTGGGTTCATGTCGGTATTGCCTGTCGGTAGACAGCTATCATAATTCTGGTGTCTGTATGTTCTCAGCGGTTAGCTTCTTGAGATTGATATTTCAAAACGGTTGTTACATCACCCTTCAAAAACGCTTAACACGTAAGTGACATTCCCCTGCTCCTTAGGTTTTTTTTGTACCCAGAAGAAAAAGGGTAGTTAAATTCCAACTCATTCCCGACGAATGTTGTCTTCGGCGAACCACAAGGGTACATGCCGGAGATATAAGCAAAGCGTCAAAATGATCAATCGTCGACGAAAGAGTCAATTACATCAGTGGTAACGAGCCAGACCTTCGTCGCGAAGAAAAAAAAAGTCCGTTAAAGCTATAAACAAGACTACAGTATTTAAGCTTGCTTACATCCACATGCAATCCTTTCGATCACCCTTCTTTCCTCCTTTCTTTCGATCTTTCCACCCCTCTCTGTCTCTCTCTCTCGACTGCGTCTAAGGTATGACAACCATAATCCAAAGTTGGTCGAGAGCAAAATTTAGGGTATTCGTCCAACCGTTGAGGCCTGACCACCCGATTTAGGACCCCTGATTCGGTTGTTCTTCTTTTCCAACCCTCGCTTGTCGTTCCCTATCTTCCCTTCCATCCCGGGTTATATGCAATATTCATGTATGCTTCTTTCTCTCCCAAAAACCTGTACAATGGACGCACGCAAAGCACGTAGCAAGAAACCAACCGCGCCTACCAACTCAGCCAAGGGCTCCATTGATATCGCACCCCATTTAGCGAAGTATCAGGAGAGCTTTTTGGCGAATTTGTCAACGTCTTTTGTTGATAATTTCGTATGTTGCACCACCACCTGTGATCATATAAAAACATCGACCGACCGGACCGACTCCGACAATGGCACCATATGAGGTTATAACTTATGAAGAACGTTTTTTCTTCAGCGGATAAAACACGACTCCATTATCGAATTCGTATCATAAATCGCGCAGTCGTTGAGTTCTTTAGTAGACACGCTTGAAAGGAGGAACAGGAGGGCACTCCTTCTCGTCAAGGGTAGTGTCAATGACACGGCGGTAACCGAGCTCGATCTTGCCGTGGGGCTGCTTCTGCCAAGAGAGGGTATGCTTCATCCAGTTCTTGTCGTCACGCTCGGGGTAATCCTCACGGGCGTGGGCACCACGAGATTCCTTGCGGTTGGCGGCGGAGACGGCGGTCTGGGTGCTGTATTCGCAATTTCATCAGTATCTGTTCACCATTCTTTTTTTTTTTTTCAAAATCATCGCAGGGGCCACTTACGCGCAAGTGAGCAAGTTGCGGAGCTCAAGGGTCTCGACGAGATCAGAGTTCCAGATCATGGAGCGGTCCTTGATGCCGACCTGGTCGAACATCTGGTCGACCTGGGTGATCTTCTCAACACCCTCGTCAAGGGACTCCTGGGTACGGAAGACGGAGACGTCGCGCTGCATGGTCTTCTGCATGGCGAGGCGGATCTCGGCGGTGCTCTTGGGGCCGTCGGAAGTGCGGATCTTGTCGAGGACCTCGATGGACTCGGAACCGGCATCGGCCTCAATGGGCTTCAGCTTAGAGCCAGGAGTGAACTTGTCACGGATGGTGTGGGAGACGGCACGGCCGAAGACGACCAAGTCGAGAAGAGAGTTGGCACCAAGGCGGTTAGCACCGTGGACAGAGACGGAAGCAGCCTCACCGCAAGCGAAGAGACCAGGGACAACCTTGTCGTTGCCCTGCTCATCGACGGTAAGAACCTCACCAGTGTAGCGAGTGGGGATACCACCCATGTTGTAGTGAACGGTGGGGAGGACGGGGATGGGCTGCTTGCGGACATCGACACCAGCGAAGATACCGGCGGTCTCAGAGATACCGGGGAGACGCTCGGCGAGAATCTCGGCGGGGAGATGGCTGAGCTGGAGGTAGATGTGGTCCTTCTCGGGGCCGACACCACGGCCCTCGCGGATCTCCATGGTCATGGAGCGGGAAACGACATCACGGGAGGCGAGATCCTTGGCGGTAGGGGCATAACGCTCCATGAAACGCTCACCCTCAGAGTTGAGGAGGTAACCACCCTCACCACGAGCACCCTCGGTGATCAAGCAGCCGGCGCCGTAGATACCGGTAGGGTGGAACTGGACGAACTCGAGATCCTGGTTAGGGAGACCGGCACGGGCAACCATGGCGGAACCGTCACCGGTGCAGGTGTGGGCGGAAGTGCAGGAGAAGTAGGCGCGTCCGTATCCACCGGTGGCGAGGACGGTGTTGTTGGCGAGGAAACGGTGGAGGGTGCCGTCCTCCTGGTTGTAGGCGAGGACACCACGGCACTCGCCATCCTGCATGATCAGGTCGACGGCGAAGTACTCGATGAAGTAGTTGGTGTTGTGGCGGAGAGACTGGCCGTAGAGGGTGTGGAGAAGAGCGTGGCCGGTACGATCGGCAGCAGCGCAGCAGCGGTAGGCCTGGCCACCCTTGCCGAACTCCTTGGACTGACCACCGAAAGCACGCTGGTAGCTGTAGAGGGTAGACTGTAAGCAATCATCCTCGGGCGCTCCGGACAGCACGGTTTCCCGGGTTAGAGACTTACATCTTGCCGTCCTCGGTACGGGAGAAGGGGCAGCCGTAGTTCTCGAGCTCGACAATGGAGGCGGGAGCCTCGCGGGTCATGTAGTGAATAGCATCCTGGTCACCGAGCCAGTCGGAGCCCTTGACGGTGTCGTACATGTGCCACCTCCAGTCATCCTCGTGCATGTTGCCGAGCGCAGCGTTGATACCACCCTGGGCAGCGACGGTGTGAGATCTGGTGGGGAAGAGCTTGGAAATGCAGGCGGTGTTGAAGCCGGCCTCGGCGAGACCGAAAGCGGCACGGAGACCGGCACCGCCGGCACCGACAACGATGGCATCGTACTCGTGGTCCTGAGAAAGGGGAGATCGTGTCAACACCTCTTTGGCGGGATTTTCCATGTGATCGGATAGCATGGGATATCACGTACGATGACATGGTACTTGCTGCTGAGATGGGGAGAAGCCTCCTTAGCACGGAGAGGACCGGGAGCGATGACGCGGGCTGTGATGTCGCCGGTTAGCCTTGGGTGAACATAGATAGTACCCTTTGCGGCATCCGTGAAGCGCAGTGCGTGCGACGGCGGAAGGCGGAACGGGGAGATCGGAGGGTGGGAGGACGGGATGCTTCGGACTCACCGGCCGGCCTTGTCGAGGAAAAGGCTCTGTTCTGGACTCTGCTGGCGGCACGCGCGAGCTGGTGAAGACGAGACTCTGGTCAGTGACAATGTTCTTTTCTCTCGGTGTATGTAGACTGCTGCGCTTCCTGTCTCTCTAATACCGCGACTGTAGACCCCGAAGAGCTTCATTCTCTCTCCTCCTCTTCCTCACGACCTGATTTCTCCCCGCTTTTGTTCCTCGGCTCTGCAAGGGTGCCAATGCGCGCACGCAAAACAGCACCGAGGTCCAGTTGAATGAACAGGAAAAGCACTCACCGTGGGCGCCGCAGCCAACTTTCTCCAAGCCAAAGAGGACATTGTTCAACAACACTTCACTACTACTGACAGTCAATAGGTGAGTAGGTGAGGTGTCGAAGGGGGGGAGGACGGGCGGGACGGGATGGTGGGTTTTTGGGGATAGGTAGGTAGTGGTAGGATGGACGGGTACGACGGGAATGGAGTGGGTAGTGGTGGTGGTGGTGGTCGTGGTGGACGGCGTGGCCCGGGTTGGATTATTACAATTGCGAATTTCCCTACGGGCTCGGGAGTCGGGGTCACGTAGCAAATATTTGACAATTGGCTTCTACACCCACACCTCACTCACTCAAGCCGACCCAGTGGCACTTTGGCCTGTTGGACTCGAGAGCACCTCCAGTTCCCTTGCTTGCCGAACGGGCACCGCAACCACATCCATCCTCACTGAAAGATACCTACCTTCCACTTCCGCACGACCCAAAAGTGGGCTTGCCACTGTCAGACAAAAGGACGTCCATGCAGGGCAGTTTCGGTTTCGACGATTCCAAGACCCGATCCGCACTCACTCGACCAAAGAGCCGACCAATCACAAATAATGTATTACCCGAGTTGCCGGCATGTGGCCCGCGCTACGTCTGGCTCCACCGTCAACCGCCGCCCCGTCGAGGGTCGCCGTCTGCTCTTCCGTGCCCCTCCACAAGCTGCCCTGTCGAGCCTCAACGATCCGGATGCTGACAAACCCCTAACCCTCTACACAGCGATCAGTGCCTGGCTTCCACTTTGTTCTTACCGTAGGCTGGCGAACGCGCAGCCAGGGCCAATGGCGTGTTAGCCTCGGATGATGCCCGTGATCTCTGTTCCCTGCAGAGACCCGAGAGATCTAAGAGACGGCAACTTCCAAACCCGGCGCATCTCCTTCTTTCTCTCGCCGTTGTTGTTGTTGTTGCTCCAGAAGGCTCTCGTCTCTAGCCCTCCAACCCCATGACGACGTCTTCCATCTTACTTTCAAAGACAGGTCACGTTGTCATTGTTGTGGGCGCCGACTCGAGATTCGCTGGAGGTGTATCCAAAAACATGTGCAGGCGGTGCCTCTACAGTGGGGTCGTCCTTCTAAGGGTGTGTCCGACACAGCAGTAAATGGCCCAGTAAATGGAATCCGTAAATCAGAGAGAGCTGTGGTCCGTGTAAGGTACTTCGACAAAAATGGGTTAATTTCCTACGAAAGTCACTTACCCGGTGTATTCTCTAACAATTTCTCAAGATTTTCCAAGCTCTCGTTGGACCAGTAAATGGCTTGGCGGCTGCATTACTCCACTATCATGGATTCGTGGCATGTGGTTGGTTCAGAAGGTCTTGGCAGGCCAAATTTACAGAAGATTGTTTCCGGACCTTTGGAGGTGCGGAAATGCCTTTTCGTAAATGCACTGACTATTTTTTCGACGTTTGTACTTCCACAACCTGCCAAGATATTTACTGGTGCCATTTACTGCTGTATCGGACACACCCTAAGCCAAATCTTTATCCTCGGCATGCCAATTATGAACCACTCACGGACAGCCAAATCGAACAAACCCCTGAACGTTGTCGTCCTGTAGTGTAGCATAGTACTTAGTGTACAACACCCGTCATCCGGGACATCCCAAGAACATGTACATGGTAGGTTTATAACGAGATATTACAGACATTATTTGAAACGTTATGAAAAGAACTACAGGACATTAGGTGCTATGCTACTCGCATTCTTCCCCACTCAAACTACTACCAACTGAGGCATCATTGCTCTCCTTCCTCATCTTTATTCCAAACACATCGCCAGTGATGTCATGCTATACCCGAGAAATCCGTGTACGTTTTGCTCTGTATCGTAAATTTCGCCGGTATCCCTGTCCGGTTCGCCCGGCTCATGCCGGAGAACCCTCACTTGTGTTTCTCTCTGAAGTTCCTTGATCCCGAAACACCCCATTACCATACTTTGCCTTTGGGATGATGGCGATAATCATTACTCTATTGTCATTTGACTTGTATCAGTAAAATACGTTGTAGAGTTGTGACTCACCCGCAAGCCCTCTACACCAGATCACACGAGACTAGACTGCACTGCACTACTGGGCAAGTACCTGTCTCAGCTTTGCCAAAAAGTCGTCCTTGAGCTTGTGGACCTCCGAAACCTCCGGCTTCGTGGGCTCTCCGGCGTTCCGCCGTAGACGGTCCTGCTTCTTGGCCCTCCTTCTCCGCTCGGCATCGATGGGGTCCATCTCCTCCTGAACTTCCTGTTCCGCCTCCGAGTCCGACAGGTCGTCTTCGTACTGCATGTCCTCCAGGTCCATCTGGTCCAGGCCAAAGTCGCTGGCGCTGAACCCTCCAGGCACCGCGTCAATACCCATGCTACCTCCTTCTGCCGCCATCTTCTGGCGAGTCTTGTCCTGGTGCCACTTTTTGCGGGCTTCCTGCCACGCGATCAGCTTGTTGATCTCGTCTATCGCCTTGTCATGGTCAATTGCGCCGCTTTGCACCGCTCCCTCGAACAACGCGTTGATATCCAGCGTGCCGTTCTTTGGTCCGTGACGTAGGAACTCAAGGATGCCCTCAATCCAGCCCATCAGCTGAGTAAACAAGCCGTTGTCATGCGTGTGAACTTCGTGGACGAACTTGTAAAAGTGTTGTTCGTGGCGTTGGCACAAATCGATGAACGCCTGCACGGTCTGGTTAGGATCCGCAGACGCATCCTGATCCCGACATTTCTCAACAACCTGAATTAGGTCATCGACGAACACCGCAAAGTCGGTGACGCTGTTGTAGACATTCGCCGACTTGTACACCCTGACAAGCGGCTCATAGAAGATTGTGAACAGATCTCTGAACAGCTGCAGGGTGACAGGTTCCTCAATAAGATTGAGCATCATAGACTTGTCCCTCTGTCTGAGATAGAGCTTCATGAGCTGCTTGAGATACGAGAAGAGCTGAGCGCCCTGCTTGAGCTCCTCGTCCACGTTCTCAACCGCACTGTTGAAAGCCACATATGCATTGTACAGTCGCGTAACCTGGTCAGCATTGAGAGCCGGGTAGATCTGCTCTGATCGCAGGATCGCAACGATAATGTCGACATCGTCTTGGACAGCCTCCTCCCTGATCGCAAGTTTAAGGGGCTCGTCGGCATCTGAAAACTGCTTAAGCTTGTCCACAAACACGGGGTCGCCGATCTTGGCAGCGAGCGCGTCTATAGATTTCTGAACGCTCCTGATGCCGTCGTTCAGGGTCAGGGAGAATATGCGTTGCATCAAGGACCTGGTACCGAAAGGTTGAGCCAGGAAGATATCGAGAACGTTGGACATGACGGCGGCGGGGTTGGCGATCCTAATGACGTTCTTCATAATCGTGTAGGGAATCAAAGAATGTATCTTCTTCGCTTGGGCAAACAGCTCAGGCGAGTTGTCTTCGGCGAGGAACAGGTGGTATATCGTGGCAGCGACCTCTATCCGTAGCCACTCGGCAAACTTCTGGTACTGGATGCTAAGATCCTGAATGGTTTCCTTCTCTTTGATTTCCTTGAACAAATTGGTCAACCCGTTATGTTCAACGATATCTTGTCGGAACCTACAAGACGTTATTGTCAGCACTGGAATCCCTGACTTCATCCGCATGAGACTTACTTTTCCATGTAAACATCCAAATCCGCCGCTCGCTTCCGGGCGATTTCATAAAACTTCTTCTGCTCCTCCACCCTCTTCTCATCCATCTTCTTTCGACGGACAATGTCCTCCAAATCCTCATCTTTGAGGGTTGTAGGATTATTGGTCAAAAAGTCTGATATGGCTTTTGTATGAGCAATCTGTGGGTTTTGTAGTAGGGTGCGCAGGAAGGCGCGGAGGGATATCCTTTGGCTCTCGCGGAAGAGCGTTACGTTCTACGAAGAGTGTTAGCCATTAACTCTTGTAAGGTATCAAAAGTGGCACAGACCTCTTCTTTCCTCGGGCTATCCAACCTGTGATCGTCCACAGACCGACGAGGAGATGATCGCCTAGAAGACGACGAGCCTGTACGGCGATGCTCTAAAAACCGGTAAGCTTCATGTTCTCGTAGCCGCATCATAAGACAATGACTCACCTCTCACAGAAAGAAACCTCGAGACACCGCCCGTGCTCCCGCTCTCGCCGTTCGGTTGAGCATCCTTACTAACCATCTGTGTAGAACCAGATGATATAGACGAAACCTCCGAGTCGTCCCCACCACCAAAAAGGCCCGTTGCTGTCGTGCTCGTCTTGTTCTTCTTGGGAAGAACGGGGAGGACTTTGCCGGGCAACTCGAGCCGAAGATTCTTGTAAAGTTTGCTGAAGTCCCCGTACCGCCTTCCAACGAAGTATTCCTTTTCTCCTTTTCGTTTTACCCGAAGCAAGAATTCCTGCCTGGTGTCAGTCTGGGGATCCTCACCACAGTTATCCAAAAGGCGAGACGTACAGCATGCTTATGGTACCGGATATTTCGCTTAATCGAGGTTATGCGAACTCCGGCGATGTTGACATCCCACCCATGCAAGTAGTTGCCCTCTGGCATGGAAGAGAGAACCCCGGTATCAATTGCGTTTGCGTCCACGATTTCCAGCTCGGAGAACCGTATCCTCTCCTCAAACCCAGAAGATGTACGGACACCTGACACCATCATCAACTCGACCAACTTCTGTGCTTTCAACGCGAGCTTCCTGCGCTTCGTTTCTTCGAGGCGATCTTCCGATGATGAGATGTTCTTGCTCGCAAAGGATTCGAGAAACTATCATGTTTCCGAATTGTTGTCAGCAAGAAGCCCAATCCATGACGTATGTTTTTCTTCTTCTTTTCGGGGTCGCAGTGCCTTCGTAGGAGGACCAAAAGGACGGGAAACCATACCACTTGCAACTTATCCTGCCAGAACTCCTTCTCTTTCGCCTTGTCGAGAAAAGGGAACTCGCGAACATGGTGTACGAAGATGTACCGTAGGATCGGCAGCTCAGAATCCAGCGGCGAGATCTCCCCAAGGTCGGACTTGAAGGGGGCTCCAAAGCGTCGCAAGGCGGTTGGCGAGTTCAGCTCCGAAATCTCCCATTTTACCTGCTCCGAGACGAGTTCCCGCTTGAGATCTGTTCCAAG